ACCTCGCCCGACTTGCGCAAAGTCTTAAAACTCGTGCGTGCTTCGTGCCAGTGTCGGACGAAGTTCTACGAGCCTCGGCCGAGCTCCTTTGAAGTTATTATTTATTCAGCACCTGTGACATTTATTTCAGATTGCATTGACAGTATACTGTGTAAAGTTTGCAGGAGCAACGTCCCATTGATTGTTAACGTTACATTTACGAGAAAGGATAAAAATAGACAAAATCGTCCTTTTTGTCCTTTTGTTAAATCAACATTCGTTAATAAACAACACCACTTTAAAAAGATGAAGAGGTTTTAACTATATAAGGCCAAATGCCTAGATTTTGACCTCAGCTTATTGAACGCACATAGAATTCTTTACTCTTGTCCCTTTAGGAGGTGTGTGGCCTTATTTCAGAAGATTGTATAATAAATTGACGTTTACACTTGTTCATCCTGGAATGAGGTTGACTTTTTTCTTAGGGTGCCCACAAGAACGTCATGTGATAGATATTACTTACCAGTTGAAGTTTATATTGCATGGGTCTTTTTACCTTTGTCTACTTTGTTGACATTGAATGGCTTGTTTACCGGAAGATTCATACTATTTTAGACAGAAGTATACAGGCAAAGTTTTAGAACAATATATCTTATTAGCTTTGTTCAGGTACGCGTGTATAAAAAGATTTTGAATCGTGCGAGCATCGATAGATCGTCGACCGTAACTCGGGCGACGTACGCCCGTGTGTCGAGCGAGCTTCGGCCGACTCCTGTCTGGTTAAAAAGGTGGTCGTTACATGTGTTAACCAGACGGAAGTGTAAATTTGTGGCTCTTGTGGTAGTATTTGAGTTGGATCTTTCACGGAATTCCTGTTTTTATTTAATATTTCTATTTTATTCTGCCAGTCCTGCATTATGCCCGCGTCACATTGTCGACGAGCTTCGGCCGTATTTGTCAATCGCCGAAAGATCGGCCGATTTTGAGATCGACCGACGATCGCGCGTATTTTTGGCTTGAAAATCGTCGCGGTCACATTGTGCGAGGCTCGGGCGATCGCTAGGCAATACATCTATGATAATGAAGTCCCTATGACTTGGCAAGCAGATGAAGCAAGGCCAGTGTATCCACCTAAAAATGAATAGTTTGGCCAATTTTTATGTTTGACCTGTCGTAATATTTTTTAGCAAAGTAATGGAGCGGACTGGCAGAATAAAATAGAAATGTAAACAGGAATTCTGTGAAAGATCCAACTCAAATACTACCACAAGAGCCACAAATTTACACAAATTTATTCGCGCAGGCGTGGAAGGTATTCGCGCAGACATGTATGCCTTTACTTACAGGCCTCCGCAATCTACCATCTAAATTTCGTGACGCTAGTAACATGTCTGGATCATATCAAAACCGGAAGTTGTGCTGCAGTACCATGACAAGCCGCTGGGGGGGGGGATCTAATCATTTTGAGGTCCCATCAAGACCTACCGACCTACCAAATTATTTGACGCGGGGTGCAAAACTGCCCACACCACTCATTTCTTCGGAAAAAAAATTTAATACAGATGCGATGAAGGATGTGAAAAAAGAGAAAAAGTTTTAATTCCAAAATACATGTACTAATCATTATTTTGTTGTTACCTCTCAAATTTTAAAAATTTCTGCTTTTTGGGTGTTAACTACTATCACGTTATTGTGTGGCAAGTCCCAAATGATAATGTCATGAAACTAATAATATGTTGAAGTAGCTAGGGCAACTCTACAAGTAAACTAAATGGTAGGGCCCAGGAAGGGTCAGAATAGGGCCAGGCGGCTAGGATCAGTTTCGTCTAGAGCTCTTTCTTGAGATGTTGGCGGCCAGAACTGGAAAATTAAGTGTCTGGAGATTCATTGTACCGAACAGTAACGCCCCCCAGTGTCTGCTCGACTTTAATACAATACTGCAGTGTTGGAATCGGGGAACAGTTGCCGACAATGTTTCTTCGAAATTCTGTGTTTTTGCTTCTTTTCACTTCAAGCAAGGAGGTTAATGCTTCAAGCAGGTGTATCTACCATAGCCCGGAGAGTGTCTGAGACAATATAACGTACAGCTTGCCACAAAAACGAACGTGGCTCGTCTTCCTGGGCGGAATTTTTACCCGGCTTTTTTTCTTCATTCGATAATCAAGTCAACATTAGATTAACAACAGGCCAATAGAGAATCACCACACATGGTGTCATGAAAGGTGTCCTAAAAGTTGCGATTATTATAATATCGTTTTTCCTCATGCTTCTTTGTCTCCTGCTATTTCGTTAAATATAAATGGATTCAACATCTAAATTTTTGGGCCAAATGATTCGAAATCTCCAAGCAGATACAGAGTGCCCTGAGTAACTAATCTTCACTTGACAAGCAGATACAGGGTCGCTTTGATATGCCATCTTCAAGCAGATACAGGGTGACGTCGCAAAATTACGTTTTGACATATAAACTAGAGAACGAAACAAATTTATGGAAGGCAATAAGAAGGAATATAATGGAGACAATTACAAGATAGACAAGTATACTCTGAAAACAAGGAGGCCGAAAAATGTCAAAAGTTAAATTTTTCAAAAATTGAAAAAGTGGATATAAATGCATTATAAAACCCCCGTTTTGGGGCCCCCTTTTCTAAAAGGGGCGTATCTCCCTTATGAAGCTGAATCAATTTGTAAATCTGGTCCGCCAATTTACCGGAATACACATAAAGGAGGGCGACATCTACCCCAATAACCAACAAGAAGCCATAGGTAACAATCCTCCGTGAAATTTTATATTTTGCAACAAAAATAATCCCAAGCGTCAACGCCAGACCTACTGTGCAGACATTAGGCAACGGTTAATACAATGGGGGCACGTCACAACCATAAAACATAAAAAGACCCAAATCCATTACTGCTCCTAGGGCGTGTAAAGATACTGTGCTTCAAGTTCATTTTGATTACACACACACAATCATTGCATTCACATAAAGATCGGACTATCATGATCTATCATGGTCGTGTCACTAGTAACAAAGACAGCCCCACCGTCTTACCGTGCCTGTTACTTATTAAGCGCGACTGGCCATGCCAAATTCTAGCAACAGTTGCGGCCAGCACCGCGAGTGTTACTACCGCCGGTCAGATACCCGGGCAAAACATTTCAACGACATTATAGGGATGTTTCAAAAATAAGCATTTACTCCAATATCAAAACTGCTAGGGTAAAAATAAATTAAAAAGACGTGCATCACCACGGGCATAATGGCACACCACATGCCAAATTACACAGAAATGCTACGTACGGAACAATGCGTTTTGGCTGCGAACATCTATGGTACCACTTATCGACCCTCCGCACGTCTGCATGAAGTTCCACCCCCCACCCCTATTCCAAACAACGGGTTTTTCTGGACCAGTCCAATTTGCCTCATAATTGTAGGGGTGCATCTGCAATATTACATTGACCGCAAAAACAGCAACGGCAAAAAAAAAAATACACATTCGTGCATCAACACGGGCATGCCCGCAGACGGCGTATAAAATTGTATGCCGATTACACAAAGAGAACCCAGTGTTTTGACTGCGAACACGAAAAAACGGCTCTTCACAACACTCCGTCCGGAGGTCCTGACCTCCTTCACGGAGTAATAACCCCCGGAAAACATCTCTCTTTGATGAGTTAACTGATCCCAGGAAGCTGGATAATCAAAACTAATTACTTAAAGACTTGCTTCACCCATGGAGTCTCCTTCTAAGTCCATGCTTCACCAGAGGGGCTTTTAGGAGTCGTTAAATCTGTAAAAATTCTGGTGACTAATGGAGGACGCTTCTTTGTAATATGTTGCTTATAGTTATTCATACTTCCAGAATGATATATTAGACATAATGTCCTGGCGCTTAATAAACTGGAATAAAAATATTTTCCCCTTGTTTCAAATGTTAGAAGTTACAATTTTGTTAAACTGACGCAACTTTGTTATACAAAAACACAGAAGCACATTTTGTCTTTACGATATATATTATCAATCACAAACCTTACATCAAACTTCTTTGACCTGATGAAATAAGAAATACATGTACTATGCACTGTTCCAGTTCATGGGCACTTTGCATTCATCCTGGTATCTTTGTATTTCTTTCAAATTGGAATTCTCAAAGTCGAAGTTCATCACACTAGTCAGTGAGAAACGAGCAAGAAGAAAAAATTCAAAACTTATTCTATAACAAACACATTAATAAATTTCTGACATTGCTCCAGCACAGAGACCTCAGTAGATTTCCGTAACAAACAAAAATCTCTACAATTACAAGCCATCTACAATCATACTGACTGACATATATATAAACAATCATTTTGTATCATTCACATCCATAAAACTTGCAGGTTGCTAATGCACCTATCCCTACACTTGCTGGAATGCTTAATACATGTATATATTTTTCATATATTCTGGTGATACTCTTGTGGTCACTGCATACATGTACTAATTTGAATGTTCCACATGTTTTATGTTAAAAACAATGTATGGTTCTCCCTACAACACCATGTCACACAGTATACGTATTACCTACATGTAAAAATACAATGCACAAAAAAAAATGTAAGACTCTCCAGCTGCCCTTACATGTAGCATGTAACAGTACTACATGTACAATGCACAGGTAATATATTTTCCACCCTAAGGCCACACCAATTTAATTTGTTGGTTCTCGGATTCGCCTCTTTGTTTTTTTCTGATTTGCAAAAAAAAATTGATTCTGGTCCTGAATCAACTGAAAAATGCTCATGTTTTGCCCCCCCCCCAACAGTTAAGGAAAGTCCTTTTCTTCCTAGTTGTTACAGTTTTCCCATCTATCATTGCAGTGGTTTGATTAAAAGTTCAAAATTCAATGTTTGAATTTTAACCCAGCCTTTTGTGTTGACTTCATGGCTCATTTTGTAGCATTTAAGCCTATAATAGGATCCCTAGACCTGTTTTTATTTTTATTTTTTTTGCCCTGTCGCTTCATATTTTTTCTGAAAAAAATCCGAGAACCAACAAATTAAATTGGTGTGGCCTAAGGACATACATGTATCCTTATTTCAACCCATTCACATTTTTTTCGCTTCTAGATACTACCATCTTTCAATTTTTCCCATTTATTTATTTATTTACCATTTTCACGCCGTATATTAAAAAAATTACACAATCAAATGATTAACCATCAAATAATATGCAGGATAGGTCAGAAACCTAGGTGGTTTTTTAAAGGGCCTACCCCAAACAAAGGTAACTTATGACAAAACATATTTGAATTAAACATCAAAATCAAACAATGAAATAATTGATTAATTAAACAAAATCAAGACATGGAAATAATAACTGAAGTGTGTAAACTAACTAAAAGAAATTAAACAAAAGTCTTGTACGTGTAATTCAGGTAACTGTTACAGAGTAAACTGATTAGATAATTAACATAAAAATTAACGATTAAAACAAAAGAATGAAAATAACAAGGAAAACAAACAAATCAGATCATATAACGAAGTCATACAAAGTTTAATGTAACATTACTGGTTTTTAAAGCAAGCAAGCAAACAAATACAATTCCATATATGATATTCCATGTAAATCATGCATAAATTTCTACATCATATACCACTTGTATGTTGCATCATTGCAGAAAAAATTGTTGCTCATAATCTGACATATCTGTTGCACAAATAATTTCTGAATCAGTTCTATAGATCCAGCAATAGCTCTTAGTACGATGCTAGTAATTTGTTGTCCCATGCAGTAAATTTGGTCTCTCAGCGTCTGAACGTGTTTGTGTCTCTCCTTGACGTCTCTCGATCCTCATGTGGCCTGTACGCTGCCACTATCCTCCATGTACAGTAAAGATGCTTCAGCAGGATGGTTGGTGGGAAGTGTTCCTTCAGCCCCTCCACTTTAGGAGTGTTCTTGGCAGCAATGTAAGCATCCAGGGTAGACAGAATACTACATAGAGAGGGGAGGGGAAACAGAGGACACTTTGAAACAGATGGCAGTTGTACCTGTGGCTTTACATAGTAAGCCAGTTTGGGTAACAATGTACCATTAATAGTGTTCTTTCTTTTTCTTAACACAAGGGGAAACCATCCATACAAGGAAACATTTAAAATGCATCAGCCTGCAATTTCCAACATGTGCCAACATTTAACATTTCCTCAAAGCAGCAATATCACTTTTCATCTGCCTTCACTACTTGTATTTGCCCTTTATCTTAGAGTCTAAGATTTTTGCAAGATAAAAGTGGTCAATTCTAATTTTTCAAAACAAAGAAGTGAAGTGAAGTCAAGCTTACTCCCAATCAGGGTGCCTGGTTTGTTCTTCTGCAACAGCGATGAATTCATACAGCTCAGCCAGAAGGGCGTCAACATTGATGTGTATCAAGGCCTCCTTCAGAGTCTTGACTTCGGACATGTCCAGTTTCTCTGCATACTGCTGAGGCATGTCCTCAAATGGATCCTGTTTGGAAAAAGTGATTGTTCTTCGTTTTGATTTCATGTATTTCCATTAACACTTGTTAATTTCTGTTCTAAGACTTACAGTCGTAGACATAGTTTGTTACAGTACATTACACAGGTGCATATAGCATCCTACATGTACTAATATGTAATATCAAAATAATCAAATAATTACATCACCTGGTTGTAATGGGCTAGTATAGCTTAATATGTCGCCTTTACTTTTTGGGAAGTAGAATCATTTGTAGTTAGATTGTGTTTTTTGTTTTAGTACTGGTAGTTCCTGTATTTTTTGTTGCATCAATAATGCCTCCATCAAAGAGTCAGGGGTCGAAATAGATTTTAGGGCCAACTTGCACTGGTGCAAATGAAAAGAAAAATACTTGCACCAGAAGAAAAATAGTTGCACCCTCCAAAAATACAGAAGTGATGGGAAACATCCGCTGGCAGCGACGTAGATAGTAACCTTCTGTTACTTACAAAAAATGAAGAAAAACTTCATGGATTCTGGTTTTGTTCCTTTCCACTCCAGTTCTTTATTAATTAATATTATTGGGTAATTCTACAGGTAGTAACAGTGGATAAAGCAAACTTGCACCATGGTGCAAGCAGGCAAAAAATTAGTTGCACGACACCAAATTTACTTGCACCAAGTTGCACACAGAGGGTTATTTCGACCCCTGAAGAGTCCAGTCTGTTGCAACAGATGATCGGGCACATGACTTGTTTCAGATTAGTTAAATAGAACCAATTGTTAATCACTCCAGTCTATCAAACTGCATGAAAGCTTGAGTGGAAAAATGCTCCATGCCTACCTGACCATTTTCCAGGGACATTCTTGCTCGCTGTACGGCCAACAGTTGCCATAGAGACAGGATGTGTTTGCGACGGCAGTGCTGGTTGGCCTGGAGAATCAAAGTTGTTCATTAACAAGTGGCTATCTGGAATACATTAAACTGTAAATTATCTAATTCACAAAATCCTACATGAAGAGTCAGCACATCTTATGGAAGAATTCTAGATCTATATGTTACATTTAGACAATGTGTCCTAACTTTGCATGCATTGTAATTTTGCTGTCTTCAGAAGTTGGTGATGAATTTATGAAGGCAGAAATAAGAACTGACTTTTATTGTAGGTTAGCTTTCCTTTGACGGCAAAAACACAATCCAGTCATGGGGAAATCATGGGGAATGCAAACAAACACTCAGAGACGCAAATTTTTTTTGTAGAGTTTTATGTTCTTAATATGTACAAAATGAATGTTACAGTTGTGTGTCATATTTTCTGTGCACGAGCCGCCCTTAACGAAGTGACCCTCTTTTCAGCGGGTTGGTGGAAAAAGGAGTCCAGTCCGATTGGCGGAAAAAGCAGTCCAGTCCGATTTTGGGGTGGAAAAAGCAGTCCGGTGGTTTCTACGAAAATCTACCATAGGTACATTCAATTATTATTATTATTTTTTCTAGTGTGTGCGCTGCACGTCGAGTTTCTATGGGTACTTCGAGTTTTTATGAGTACTTAGAGTGTCTATGGGTATACTTAGAGTTTCTGTGAGCCCTTAGAGTTTAGAGTTTGTATGGGAACTTACAATTTGTATTAGTATTAGGGTGCTGTCCGGTTGGGAATCTGGTGGTGTTTTATGTCAGGTCACTAGGGGTCATCACCGCTACCTAGTCCTGCTTACCCACATAATGTACGTTATGTAGTCATGTCACTTGAGAACTTTCTGGTTCTGTTGTTTATACCAAACTGTGTAGTTTCTATACATACAGGTCACCTATCCACAATAAACAAAAGTTAATTATTACGGGATTCTTTCTTACAATTGTACTTCCGGTACTTACATATAAGTAATAATGATTAGTCAAAAGATGAAGCGGTCAACTGACGAGATTTCCAGTGCCAATCCTGCTTGCATGTAAGTAACCTGATTAAATCGCTTAAGTACCCATAGAAACTCTAAGTCCTCATAGAAACTCGAAGTACCCATAGAAACTCGAAGTACACACCCACACAAGAAAAAAATAATTGTACGTAAAAACTATGTTCTTTCGTACATTTTCGCAGAAACCACCGGACTGCTTTTTCCGCCAATCGGACTGGACTCCCTTGTCCACCAACCTCTTTTCAGCACCATCAATACTTGCGCTCTCCAACTATTTGCATCACTGACATTGGAATAAACCTATAGGATTTGCATAAAATTATGAAAACCCAAACCATTTCCCATTCACTCCTGTTATAAATTGCATGGCATCAGCTATTATGACATTAACCTGATATTGGGGTAAATGGCACACTGACCCAGAAATACGTGAAAGAAATACATGACTTGTACAGTAAAGTTGTTACAGTAACAACTTTACTCTGAATTGTTCAATAAATCGCCCCTGCACCCTCCATTGTCAATACACTTTCTCTGTTGTCACGTCCTCTGCACAGGTGAGAACCCCCAATCATGCACTCAGTGATGATTGTGTGCTGGTAAAAAATCTTTTTTTTAGGCAAAACAATCAGTAAATATTATGTACTAGATTGAACTAAAATTTCAATGTGCAAATAACAGCTGTATGGATTGACTAACTTTTTTACCTTTTTAATCCAACCAAAGTCAGTGGCAACAAATATGCCGCACTTCTGCATAAATAGCAAGCTGCCGCAGTGCCATGTGCCTGCAGAGCTGGCAGTTTACACTGAAGGGCTGTTATACTGGCTATACCAATACTGATACATGTATTATCCAGATATTATTATCAATAAGATCAGTCAAAAATCCGTTCAAAGTTAGGGCATGTGTGAAGTTAGGGCACCCCGTTAAATTCTTAATGTAATTATATACAATTATCCCCCCCCCCCGTAACATGCTCCATTCTTTACATGAAGATTTGCTATTGCCACAACTCTGACCATTGACAGATAAAAGAACATGTACCTCGAAAAACATGTGACATTAATGACATTAAAGTCATGACATTTGGACTGACCTTCATACTGCGCAAGCCTGCCGTCGCTTTCATTTTCAACACCCGGTGTAAGTACTCCCTGATAGGGGTGTTGGGGTCTCCTCCAGTAGTTGCCAGGAAGATCAAGGCAATGTCCACAGCAGCCAGAGAGGAGCAAACATTGGTGAGAGTCCCCAGCTCTTGGAGGATTTGCATCTGCACAGCTTTGGATAGAGGCTCCTGATGGAATGGGAACAAAAAGGCAAATTGAAGCAAGATATATTGGCTTCAAGGACACTGCCAGAACCATGAAGCCATTGTACATGTACTCCAGTGATTTTTTATGCTTTCCACCTGCTAACAACTATTCATGAATCAGGATCTTATGCTAACAGCCATAATAGTATATCTTGATTGCTTTCCACATTGAGTGTTCAACATACATGACATTGTACAATCATGTACCTGTGGAATCTTGTCTCTCAAGCTCTTGTACATAGCAACATTCTTGGTCTCTTGTCTGAAGATGAATATTTCAAACTGAAACACACAAAAAACAAATTTACATCAATAAATTAAAATTGATATGAAAAGGCACCACCTCATGCACCACCTCATCCTAAACATTACTTGCAACACAAAATCATGTCAGAATAAAATACAGCATGTTTTGAAATGTTAACAAGTGCATAGGTGACAATTCCAACAGATACTTGCAACAATAACAGATACACAACACCCAACTTATATCTGCTCATTAGACAGAACTTCGCCTACCAGACAACAACTTAAACCTATGGCCACAGGATTGTGTTTCTGAAATATGCATTTAGTAATACCTCAATATATAAACTGCTACGGTGAAAAGAAAAAAAATGTCGGATATAATGTACGGCACACCAGATACCCAATTACATAGAAATACAATGGAGAGAGCCATGACTTTTAGCTGCAAACACATTAAATTTTGAAAAGGGCCTATAGAATGTATAACAAAACAAAGGGAACTGTGAGTTTTACCTACGAATGAAAAAAAAAAAATTCAAAATACCCCTGCAGGAGGGATACTTCCTTCATGGAGTAACACTACCCACTCACTAGTACATGTAATTAGTTTCCAAACATCACAACTTTCCTCCATGATTTCAGCATCGAATCTACCCTGGGTCCTTAAAAATAGAGTTTTGGTTTACAGTTCAGGACAGAATTTCAAAAGGTGTTGCAGATAGATTTCACAGTTTTGAACCAAAGCACCTTACATGTATGGAGAGAAAGATCAAATCTATGGTCACAAGTACTAGTGGTGCATTGTAAAAGGTAAGATCCCCACGTCATCATTGATCCTGGGTTTTCCCAAGACGAAGCGTTCCACCAGCTGTCTCTCCAGCGTGGGGAGGTCGTACTCCACCCTGGTGCCCTCCCCCACCGCCAGCGAGTAACAGCAGTGGGACAGCACCAGGGGCAGCAGGTCCTGTTCAGGGTGACAGCACACCACATGGGCCGTGTTCACATTGCTCAGGAGGACAGACCTACTGGTACTGAGGAGAGAAAGAAAAACAGGTTTACACACATGTAACACACATGCAATACCCATGTAACACCCATGTAACACATGTAAAGTGAGGGTCACAACCCATCCATCTGCGTGCTGTCTACGTGCAAAAACAAGGGCAAATTTTTGGAATCAGTAAGTGGTGAGTACTGCCTCCATATGGAATCCAACAGATTTTGGAGCAGGCAAACATGCCGTAGCATGTTACTGGTAAGTGCATGTAAAACTTTCTCTGCGTTATGGCTGTGGATTCACCCCCCCCCCCGTATGAGCCAGTATGGACAACGCACATGCTCTGTGAGTACCGGTATGTACCGTAGGAACACAGCACGTGTAAGTACGGTCTACATATGGTATAGTGGCAATCGCACAGAGATTGTACATTATTAGCACAATCATACAACTCATTAACCACTTGCACAACAAACAATGCACGCAACCGCTCATGGCCAGGCGTGGCGTGCAACTGTGTGAGAGTGACGTGCGTTCACGTACTGCTCATGCCACTCCTTCCCCACGTTTTCAGAAAAATGTAGCGGACGTGGCCTCCCCAAAAAACGTACGGACAAAAAACATGTACGGCATCTTATGACCCTGGCTTAACGCACATGAAACACACATGTAACACACATGTTACACACAGCACCAGGGGCAGCAGGTGACCTTATTCTTTCAAGGCAATGTTTTGTTAGTCCTTCAGAATCTGCTCATTTAGAACATGTACGTGTGTTATACATGTATATTCATACCCAGAGTTCTGTGCAACTGCATGACCCTGTGTCTCCTGTACAAAGCTGTTGTGTGCGCTGGCCAGGAACAGCACCAGCGCTGTGGAGCAGGAGGTCGGCACAACGGTTCTCTTGATGGGGAGGAGATGGTACAGGCTGGTCCTGATGGGGTCAAAGGTTGTTTGGCACAGCTCTCTCGTCACTGCCTGAGATGCTGAGGAAGTGAAGAACAAATCATTATAAGACATTGGTGAATACAAACTGTAGTTTATAACAGTGGAGAAACAAAGGCTAGTTCTTGAACCACAAGCTAATTCTTTTTTTATCTAACTGCTTCAATAGTCAGGTGAAATTAATTCTACAAAGTACATTGTACATACAGCAGGACTAACAAAACTTTTGAAAGAATAAGAGTTTGGTTGTGGTCCAAGTGATTCTAAGTCATATGATGTTACCCAGGCAAGGTACATGAATTTTTAATCAGTATTTTCCACTCTGAAATCACTATATTATAGTTTCACTGAGACAATAATGATGATGAGACAAGAAATCCATCGAAGCAGACGGTCTGACCTGAAGTCAGTACTGGGGAATAGGTTAATCTCCTCCTGCCATCCCACCGGTGACCTGCTTATGTACATCTGCTGGCAAAAGTTTACATCATGACTGACATCACTTTTACATGTACCCAACCGTTCTGCTACAAAATGTATGTCACTCCTGCACTTACTGGTTCTGGCCAGCAGGTGGCGTATCAGGTTCCAGGTGACACGGAAACTTTCCACCAGCTGCCGGAACTCCTCGTACACAGCACCTTGGGGGGGGGGGGCGAGTTAGAGGATTTGTTGTCAGAGACGCTATGTTATTATTTACTGTACAAAATCCAATCTGCTTCACCCAAAGGACTAAGTCTTATAATTTTTATTTGGTACGATTTAAAGGTAATGCCTTTTTGATTTTGCAGACTTTCTATTCTTAGACTTAGTAACAACTGAAATTTGTTTGGCAAACCTTTAACATCCAGTTCTAATACACAAAAATTTATGTAGATCATTCAGAGCTTGTCTATTACAGGCACATATCATGCTGATGTCCAGTGTCTTTTCTTCACAAATTTTTCTGGAAATTGTTACCTTCAAGATTTATTTGTTTCAGAGTAGCTCACTCACCTTTAGGCTGTTTGTTGAGGAAGTCGCTGACCTTGATGGACATTGCCTCGGCTACATCAATGTGTCCCTGATACTGGGTGATGAGCAGCTTCTGCAGACGGAGGATGTCTGGCAGGTGTCTCATGGCCTCCAGTACCTCTTTCTATATCCATGTGGAGAAATGAGATGGTCAGACTGACACACAAAAAATCTGTTTAATGAACGAGGTCAAGGATATATAAATGAATGGTTTTAATGTACAATGAACAATTATGTAGAACAAACATTTTTGCAAAATTGGAAGCCAGTTGAAGCTACAAGAGCAAGAACATGTGTATATATAGCAGCATGTATATGTAAATTTGAAAATTTGAGATAACTTTATTGGTTGTTGCTGTTGCATTCATTCCAAATATTTAGGCCAATAAGGGTAGACTGAAAATAATAGAAAGTACTATGTGATCATCAATCATTGTAAATTCATTGGACTTAATGTCACAGTAGGAGAGGAAAAGAACTATTCATCATCAGTGGCGGCGGCGGCGAGGGGGGGGGGCGGCAGTGGGGCGACTTGGTGCTCGATAGTGGGTTAACGTTCCATACAAATCTCACTCCCCCAGTCAAAATTTCCTGCCGCCGCCTCTGATCATGTTTTGAATATGCAGTTGAAACAAATCTGTAGTACAGTAATGACACATCTGACACAGTAGTGGAAAGGTGTCGATGTGAAAAGGGAACCACAGTGAACATTTCAGGATTTTGAGTACATGTAAGCATGATGCTATTATTGGCAGATAGGTGTACGTGTATACTGTACCTCAGCAATGAACTTCTCCAGCACAGGCAGCTGCAGCTGGTTCTCTGCCATGGTTTGAGTCAGACTCTCCAGGTTGATCTGCGGCCGGTGTCTCCACATCTCTGGCAGGTCTGCCAGCCTGTCCAGGTCCAGCCTCTCGCTGAGGGTCACCTCCTCAGACAGGAGCTGCAGGAGCGGGTTGTTACTGAGTCGGTCGTCGTTGTGCAGGGCTGCGTTGGCCTGCTGCAGCATGGCGTCTAGACCCTACACAGGACAAGCCAAGAGTCAGTGTATTTAAATTAACTGATAGTATATTGTAATACAGTATATACGGTATATGTATCGGTATTGGCAAAATCCAATGTCTCCAGCAAGTACCCAACAATGTCATCTTGCAACAAACAAAAATACAGTGCATCTACTCCATCCTTAGCCAATGCCAGCTCCGCTGGCTACGACATGTCAGGCGCATAGAGGACGGACGGATTTCAAAGGATGTTCTGTATGGACAACTAACCTCTGGATCCTGACGAGTTGGCCGTCCAACACTGCGTTTCAAGGATATTTGCAAGAGAGACATGAAGTCATGCGGCATCTCAACAGACACCTGCCATGGGAAGTGCAGGCTGAGGACAGAGCTGCCTAGCGCAGAGTTGTGCAGAATGGTGTTGTAGATGCAGACAAAAGATGGGGAGAAGCTGCAGCAGAGAAACGAAGACTGCGAAAGGCTGTAGCACAAATTGTAACCCTAACTACACAGCACACACACAACAGGGTTTGCAAAACCAAGGCTGACTTTCAAGCCATACAAGAAGTCACCAGATAGAGGCACAAAGATGGTCTGCTAGACTGAAGTGCCAAAGAAGAAGATAATTTAATATATGGTTTACATTATGCAAAATTGTACTGTATCTTGGACATTTCCTTGGTCTATTTGCATGCCTTAGAAGCTCTGGCTGCCAACCCTAGTATGCGATTCCTATATACTAGGGTTGGCGGGCGGAGCTTCTAATGCGTACGTTTGATCAGAAAATTGTGAAAAATAAGCCCCCCTCCCCAAAAATAAAGCCGATCTCAAACCTTTAGAACCATTCTGCTCAAGTCCAAAATGTTTCTTCCTTTCAAAAACAGTCACTGATTGAGGAATATTCTATGAAGTGTTCGTTTTACATGACTGATGAACCTCATCATTGAAATCTTGACTCTAACTTACATGTATTAAATAATTAACCCGCAAGCTTGCTTTGGACTTCATATCAAGAAATGTACTAAGTCTTGTGCTATAGCTGCTTTAACTGTAGGAGGATAAAATCAAAATAAGGACATCAATGGGGAAGACATTCATTACTAGTAGAGGGATAAATCTCTACTCTATAGGTAGCAGACAATTGAGTACTCAGCAGTTCCCTTTGGATTAGGCATAATGTTCTCCCAAATGCTAAAAAGTCTCTTTTTACACTGTTACTGTTTTGTTACGAAATTTCCCATTGATTGAAAAGTCTCTTTCAAAATCACCTGTGAAAACATGGCTGCCATGTTGTTGTTTTTATGTCATTGTTAGGGTTAGACGCTAATCTCCAATTAATTAGCTATTGTTCAAAACAAGTGACTGTATCTGAGGGGGTCCAACATTAGGTGTCAAGAAGGATTATCTACTGTAACAGCAGTTCTCTTTGGAGTCTATTCTAATGGGGACAGATCTCTTCCAGCTCTCTTTTGGTCTTGTCCTTTGTGATGAGATCTCAGTTGTCAGCTAGAGTACTCAAAGAGATTTATCCCTCTACTAGTATATTGCACATAATAATATCTGAATTTTATGAATCTCCTGTGATTCCTCCAAAATATTCTTCATCACTATCTAAAATGAACTTATGTTAGAAGTTGAACAAGTCCAGCTGTACAGCCTGCCCAGAAAGACTCCATCCTTACCTGGTGTAGGATGGGGTTGACACATCTGACCATGAAGGCCTTCTCCCACTGAGTCCGCCTAGCCTTGGAGGACCAGTCACCTGCAGCCGCTGCTGTGGAGTAACAAGCCACAACGGATGGTTACTTGTAGTTTGGTACTGGTTATCAGCTATTGTTACATGCCAACTTGATGTTTTTTGAGTAAAAGATGATTGATCATGTGATGTTTCCACTAATACTAGAGAATACAGTCATTATCATTAACAGTAGCAATCAACTTGCTTCAACCATTAAATGTAACTATGAAGGTTTTCAAAAGTAAAAGAATCTTAATAATGTCTGATGTAGATTGAAAATACAATGTATTTGTCATCTACAAGATCATACTAGCATACACATCACTTTCAATTGTATTAGAACGTAAAAAAATCATATAGGAGCAAGAAGCAGAACTCCAGTCAGTCTCTGAGGAAGGTGTCTGACGGACACCGAAACGTCAGCAAGGTAAATAGTTTGGTTGTGTAAAAGAAAACTCTAAGTATACTTAACCAACCTGATTTTCAGAATATACACTGTCAATCACGTAATTCAATGCAAGAAGAAAAAAATACAGCGCTGAAACTTGAGAAATTCTGGACAAGTTTTGTCCTCCTTACCTTGTGCCTGCGGTGTGAGAAGGTTGTGCAGGATGAGGTGCATGAACAGGGCTGCATCGTCTGCACTCCTCCCAAGGGCACGGCCCAGCTGCTGAAGGTCAAGTTCAAGGTGCTGCCACAGGAACTGTGACAGATTGGGCGGTCTGGGGTCGATCACATTAACAACACCCTAAAAACATGGGGATAATATTATATAAATGACAGTCAAGTTCTAATATGATGGTAGGAATCCTGCAGAGAGAAGAGTGACTATGGTATGCCCATCACCAGTCATCATTGTTGACTGAATAGTGTGTTTTCAAACTTTTGCTGCAATTAATATGATTGGTTAAGGTGATTAATCTGATGTAATTAGAAATGATTGACTCTTAGTAGTCCTCTATCATTCTACACTCACATTTACTATCAATAAAATTAAGATTCGGCTTGACACAATGGCCAATCTACCTGAGGATTATTGGTTGCAGCCTTGACCATGGCTGCATGCATGACCAGTATGACAACACAGGTGGCCACAACGGTCAAGTCTCGCTCAGCGATGGGCACAGCCGGCCTGTTTGCTGCAGGACCCAGGATGTGACCAGGTCTGGTGGCATCATTGCTGAAGAAATCAGGAAATTTTAAGATAAATAAATAGAACAAAATTCAGAACTTATCTATTTAGTAGTTATGTTGAAGGTAGTACATCAGAAACAAGGACGTGTCAAAAAGTGTGATATTATCTGTTTTCAGGAAAAGAAAATGGAGCAGAACCCGTAACTATTATTTGCCAGTCTAGCCAAGATTATCGTATCCCATGGCAATTTTTTTGTTATGGGGGTTTGGTTATATCCTCACAAAACCATCCACAAACTGACCTGCCACACCATCAACCAAATTGACCACCATCTGGTTTAAATTGTACGGGTTTTGCTGGATCATCCAGTTCAAGTCTGTTTAAGACTTCCTCAAAGTGTTGAGCCTATAATGTAGCCACTCCTTGTCTTTCTTCTTTCTGTACCCAATCACTTGTTCAGCTTTTTCACTGTTGTTATATTTTTTTATAATCATGATGATGATAATTATGGGTTCACCACACCACGAAGTGGTGTGGTGAAACCATATTGCTTTTTCTGATGTTTCTTCTCCTTCTCCTTCTTCTCCTGCCATTTTTTAAATGGATTCAGCTTCTTCATTTTAGGGCCCAAGGTCCTGAAATTTGGTATGGAGGTACAGTGGGCAAATACCCCTAGGCGTTTTTTAAATTATTGTGATACAGGCTTTTAGAATGGTTTTATTTGAGTTTTTTGGCTGTGTTATAGCAAATGTATTACTGTGTTAGTCTGCCTTGTTTACCACGTTTGGGCATGAGTCATCAGAATGGAATGCAGGGCATCAACCAATAGGCATGCAGCTTTCCTCTATACTTCTTGCTGATTGGCTGTTGGGATTTAACTTGATTAACACCTGCACAGAAGCATTTCCATACTGACAGTATGTCTGTATTCAAGTGTTTTGGTAGGTATTTCAAGCTTTCCTGCTCCAGCATTGGAATGCCGGGCATGGACGTTTTTTTTTTATTTTGAACATCAACAGTTTGCATTATGCAATTAAAAATCCTAACCAATAAAGTAGGGAATAGCTATCCAACTGTTGTTTTAGTTGTATTTTACTTCATATTATAGTTATATCAATGTAAATCATTGTTTTCCCTTGTGTTTCTCATTCTTTCCCTGCCATGTCGTAAAATGTGGTGAACCCATCGCTGTATTTGCTCCAAAGCAAATATTGGCCTTTCTAGTTTCCATCTTGCTTCTACTGTGTTTTGCTCTTCTTCACCTTCACCTTAGTTTCTGGGGTGTGTATCTTGTAGGTATCAAACACTTTGCAATTCCACCTAGTGGGAGGAGTTGCTCTTAGCTTTAGTCTGATCTTATATAATTATTATAACACGTTACTATAGTTACTAGTAGATTTACCCATCAATACCAACCCTCCATCTCATGAGGAAGTGGAAACAGCAACGTAAGCCAATGATTGAAGAATGGCAAAGCATCAGGTATTGACTCACTAAAGGCAGAGCTTTATGAAGGCAGACTGTGCCACAGGCACACTTCTCCTAACAGACCTGTTCACTTAGAAGATCTGGAAACATGAAACTATCCCACAGAACTGGAGCAAAGGCCTTTTCTTCAAAATCCCAAAGAAGGGAGTTCTTTAATACAAACAATAGATAAAAATATCATACTAGCAACAGTGACAACTGGTGGGGAATATGTAGACACGGTCCATCCCAAGCAAGGTTTCTGCAGAATCTCAAATGGATGATTCCCTTCTGTGGTAGGTCTGGTGTTAGACAGGGGTGAATCCAGTCTCACCAATACAGATCTTGATTGCAATTGACATGGGTAATGCAAGAAGCTGTATCAGACCATCTCCGTGGTATAAAATGGTCTCCTAAAAAGTACAGATTGCTGAGGATAAGCATAATCGGGATGTAGGATATTTTGGGATATCCCGCAACCTGCTCCAGGAAAAGAAAGAGGCAAATAGACAGGTTTGTACATGAATACAATTAACCCAAGTTATGTACATAAACACTCCTCTGAACCCCCTATCAGTATAGATGGTGAAGACCAGTGAGTGAAGGCCTAAGTCTTCACCTAGTGTTACCTGGGTGCCATCATGAGCTCAAAGGATGGTGCGCAAAAGGACATCAAAGTATGCCTGGACAAAGCCAGTAAGAGGCTCCTTCAGTCGTACAAACAATATGAAAGTCTGAGCAGTACAGTCTTAGAGCAAAGCTCAGACTCTACAACTAGTTACAGTTATGTAAAATCTGTTCTTCTATAGACTTGGAGGGTAATTAAAATTACCTGGAGAAGAACTGTATCAGGTGGCCAAGGACAGACTCAGATCGAAGATAAAGTCATGGCCTTACATATATGTTAACTAACTAAGTACACAATGTAAGTATCATAATGGCAATTTTTTTGTGTGCATTATCTTACCCAATATCACAGCTGTACATGGACATTGTATTTCAAAGATGACACACAATGTACAATCAATTCCTCACGGCTTATGGCTAACTATCTTCCCTTAAGTCACCTTGAGTAATAATAATAAATAATAAGTAAAAAATGAGAAATTTAAATACATTTTGACGTAATGTATCTTTGATAAATTCTCACTTTCTAGCATCCTGCACTCCCTGGACAGGACGGTGGTCAAGCCCTCCAATGGCCGCCCCACAGTCAGGACAGCGGCTTTCCTCCATGGGTTTATGACACTCGCCGATGGAGTAAGGGTGTCCGTTAGTACACTGGTACCAGCCGAGTGACTGTGCTCCTAGCGCCTGACGTACCTCCATCAACATGTCTTCTGGCATAGTTGGGAAGTAAGAATGCTGAAATAAGAAAAGATTTAGTCAAAATTATGTGGTTAATTCTGTGGCAATGGGCTTTGGAAAAATGATCACCATCCGGCTGTGGAATTGACCACTTTTAGTGGTGAAATCCTCGGCCATGAAGGGACTAAGTCATAACGCCCGCGGTAGCCGAATTTCTATCAAGGCTGATGAGTTTAGCACAGTGACTATAAGTGGTCAACTCGACGACTTATCTGGACTTATCGCCTTTAAAGTGAGTCAAAAGAACAACAGGAAGCCAGTAAATTTATTTTTGTCGCAAATACTTTCTATGGCGGCTAAATAAGAAATTACATCATCAGCTGTAACGTTACATTACTAACAAGTTTATCGGCACTACGAATGTTTCATTCCAATCAAACAAGCGGCATCAAACAAGCGGCATCAAACAGTCAAACTAACAAATTCTGTACATCAACTGTACATTACTAAAAAGGTTTTACGAAGGTTGTATGTACTATCAAGTTACGAATTCTTCCCAGTGTACATTTTCACCATTTTACATTGAGGGGTATAGGATTTCACCACTAAAAGTGGTCAATTCCACGGTCAGAAACATTACTACACACCATAGTAACTATGGTAATCATTCTTTCAAAGACAGATGCATGCCACCTGATTTTGTGGAATTGACCACTTGAAGTGGTGAAATCCTTGGCCTTGACTGCTTAAGTCCCTCACGGCCATGGATTTCCCCACTAACAGTGGTCAAATTTCACGGTCTTCCAATATACCTGGATGTGCCTTGGGCAAGAACAGTGAGGACAAGTACAAAATGTACAACAAAGATATGACCATTACTAAATCTAACAATCAACTAAAGAGAATCCAAGATGGCGGCGGGAGAATCCAAGATGGCGGCAAAAGACTGACGTTATAGTAGGCGCCAAGATCCCGCATTTTTTTACATCTTCTACGTTTAAACTGCATATTTACGCTATGTACTCCACATTATCTAGTATCGGGTCTTCTGTGGTGTCTTGTGGTGCAGGCTAAGGGGAACTCTGTGGGTTAGCCATTTATGAACACCTCGTCCCCAAAAGAAACGCTGAACTTGCTAAAGACAACAACATTAACTTTAGTTATCTACTGTACATGCCAAGGATACCTACGCTGTATTTTTGTCAACGCAAAGGAAATTTAAAGAGAAAAATTGATGCAGTTGACATTGTACTGTCAAAAAGAGATGACCTTTTGATTGTGTGATTGGTCTCTGATAGATTTTCTTTGACTTTGAGTCTGTTATGAAATGAGATATTACAAACTTTAGAATTTTAACTTTAGATTTATTTGAAAATTAAAAAAATTAAATAAAAAAAAACAATCAAACTACATAATTTAAATGTATATGTCAGGGAAGAGAATAAGTCTTTGTCGACAGAGACTCTGATTAGGATACTGTTAAATAATATTATAAAATGTGTTAGCCAAGCATGATTTCCCATTCACAAATTTTAAGTAACATCAAGTCAATCCATTGATCTAAAGTGACACAATCAAAGTTGAAAAGTGCTGACTGGCTTTTAAGTCTTAAAATGACAGGATCTGAGTCCAATTGGGATCTCTCCTGGTAGAATGACTGATTTTACCAGATCAGAGTCTCTACGTACTACAATGTATACCTTGACATGTGCAAGACTTTTGGTGGATGCATCTAATAAATGTAAACATATCAATGTAGCTAGTTCACCCATTTCTTCCTCCTTCAAACTTTTTTCAAATCACCAAGCCATCTAAATTTGGTTGGAAAACAAGCAGAACAAAAAAAAATGGCAGTAGAAGACCTGTGGTAGACGCATAATGATGGTGAGTATTCTTAATTTAGTAGTTACTCATTGGCACAATCTGTCATTGAATACCATCATTCTAATAAAACCTACATGTACAGCGTGGTTCTGTGGGTTCTGTAGGAGGGTCTGGAGTGGCAGTAGAACACCTCCCACACCTGTACCCAGAACAGCAGCAGTGTGGATCACTAGTGCAGACAGGGTCCTCTGGATGGGCGGCTGGTTTGGTGTCACTGTAAGGGCAAGATTACCACCACCCTGGGAGAATACAGAGGAAAGTTATATAATACCAGAACAACTAGAAAGGTCACATAATAATTATGCAAACGTTTACCTTCACATGGTTTAGCCCGACAAACTGCTGCTCTGTTTATTACCTCCGGGGAAGGAGACATCCTTCCACGGAAGGGTATTAGAACAGAGATACTGAGATCAGTTTCCATGTTCGCATCTATTTGTCGTGGTGGGGTGGACAGATTTTTTTTGGGACTCAGTATACGTTTTGCTATTAGGCTGCAGATGATGCACGTTTTTTCCTTTTTGAACCTCTTCAACAGAGAAAAACAGCACCAGACTAAGTGTGTTCTCCTACTCACCTGGTTGTACAACAGTTCCATAGCGAGCTGCTTGTTGGCGAGGACAGGAGAGTCATGCAGGTACTTGCGTGAGACAGTGATGTAATCCTGGGATGGATGGCGGGCCTGGTTGGTGTCGGCTCGGGAAACCGTGACCTCACGGTACAGCGCCAGCAGGAGGTGAACTTCTCGCACATTTTCAGGAATGTTCATAGCCTGATGAAATGGCCAAAACAGGCGTATCACAGAAAAGTTACAAATTTGGAAATAAATTTGGTACATATAGGATAACTGGCACTTCTGAGTCTGGAAAATGTGAAAGACATGGAAGAATTCCCATGCTCTAATGCACTACTGTAACAATTTTCAATTACATTCATTTCTTTTGCCTAAAATAACTGCCTAGTACATAAAAGTATAGGCAAAAATTAAGTCAACATTCAACAAATTGAATGCAATAAATAAAAAAAACTAACCTGGAGGACATCATTGACAGCGTCCATCTTCTTAGTGGCCATGGACTTGGCCAGTTCTTCCCTCAGCCGTCGGTAGTCATCTCCACACATGATGAAGCGATCTGGGATGACCTCCTAAACACAGGAAAACGCTGCAGTTTATCGAACAGCTACCTCACTCAATGTAAATTGTACTGGTATTAAACTGGTGCAACTGTCCAGTCCTGTACAAATTGGGGTGATATTTGACCCAAATCTGTGTTCACATTTGATGCCTGCCTATTCCACCAGATGCGGTGACACAGACTGTCCTCTTAATCTAATTTAAAAATTAGTCTATCAGCAACAGTTATGTCTTTCAGATAATATGACCAGTGTCATGACTGTAGATGACCTGACATGTAGACAACCACCTATCAAATTCTCTCTCAGGTTTCTTTTTATACTTTTCTTTTCATGGAGATGTTCTTTTACATGTATGTCAGATAATGTTAACAGGGTAGCGATTTCATAGCCATATTATTGAACACACTACGTCACTGCATCCTCTTGGTGGAATATATAGGCAAGCAAACGTGAACATGGATTTGGGTCAAATATCACCCCTACATGTACATGCAGGACTAGTAGAAACCAATGATTTTTTTTGGAAATAGGATTTTGGGTCAAAAAGCACCAAAACTGATATTAGTGTATTTGTCCTTTAAAAACTGAAATATAAGATTCAAAATTTCCTTCTGGAAACAGTTCTGCTGTACCCAGGAATATGAAATGGTTCTGTTACACCCAGGAACACTACAATTTGTTACTCTGCACCAACCTTCCCACCCCTGGCCTTAGGTGGGATGATCCATTGCAGGTGCTGGTGCAGCTGTGCCTGTTCTGTCACGCTCAGCAGACTGTCCATGCCATAGCTGCGGTATAGCTGCTTCAGAAGGAACACCAGCGACCACTCCAGCTGTTTACACAGCTGGCAGGCCTGGTCCAACAGCATCTTGGTCAACCTGTTAGTGTCACAAGAAGGGTCAACTTGTAAGTTGGAAGTCCTTGCAGTCACTTTAGTCACATACATGTTTAATACTGTAATTACCAAAACCCTGATGAGAATCTAAAAAGGTTTTGTTGACCTTTCAAAGACTCTGGATTTAGTCTATTGGTGTTAGGGAAACATCACAGTCAACTGTATGTCACTTGGGCAAAAAGGGGTGTCGCTATACATGTACAAGAAAAAGGCACAATCCAAGAACATTGAAAAATGCCACAAAGATTCCCTGTGTATAGTATTACATGATTGTATGTAGTAAACCCCTGATTCTGCGAGAGAGTTGTAAAATTGTTAGGAAGGATTTGGCAGTCTTCGGCTAATATGCACATAGTGGTCAGGATGCTTCAGGTTGGCCAGCATTCAGGGCTGGTTTGTGGCTGATTTGGGGAATGGTTCTGAAATGGTTTGGACATGGCTGGCGTAGAATATACATGTAGGCGTGGCCTAAATCTGGTCAGACTACCGACCTGTTCAGCTGGTGTTTGGCTGGTGAACTTCAGGAACAAATCCGGGAGAGGGTCGTGAATGTGTCTCAGGGGCTTTAGACTTTGTTTGGAGATGACAAGATTATAAAACGTCACCTGTAATGTGTCTTCTTCATCAGTTTCTTCTCCTCTTGCACTGAGAGAGCCCTCCTCCCATGATATTCATGTAGGAGTTGTGCAGCGACAGACAGTGCAAACCGTATGTTGGCAATAAACAGCAGTGTGGCCACGGACAGACCCGGATGGTTATGCTGTGCCTGCCTGCCGGCCTGCTGGAGTTTGGAGACAGCAACTCTAACCATTGCTGTCTCTGTGTCATGAGACTGGGCAGCTTCTTGCTTGTAAGAGTCCTGTAAAGTTAGAACATTTAACAGTATATATAAAGCATTGAACAGCGAGCAGATTATTATTGGAATGAGCAGAGCACTTTGGACTAATGCCTCTGACTATTTACAGCTTAGAGGTACATATCCAATCTTTTGTCACAAACTTCCCTGTTACATAGCGGATCATAATGACCCCCAGTGGGGGTCTTCACACTTCGCTAAAAAAGGAAAAATCTCAATATTTTAGACAAAATCTTGAGATCTTATGAGACAATCTTCAGATTTTTCATGACAAACTCCAGATCTTTCAGAAAATCTTGAGATGAAAACAAAAGGTCTCAGGATCTTTCCAAATGTTTTCAAAGCATATTGAGATTTTTCCATATCATCTTGAGATGCTTTAAAAAATATCAGGATTTTTAAAGCAATCTTGAAAAAACTTGAGATCTTTTAAACAATCTTGATATTTTTCAAAGCATATCAAGATGCTATGGAAAAATATCAACATACTTTGAAATCATTTCGAAAGATCCTGAGACCTTTTGTTTTCATCTCAAGATTTTCTGAAAGATCTTGAGATTGTCATGAAAAATCTCAAGATTGTCTCATAAGATCTCAAGATTTCGTCTAAAATATTGAGATCTTTGCAATAAATATTGAGATTTTTCCATTTTTAACGAAGAGTGAAGACCCCCGCTGGGGGTCATTATCCGCTATGTAACAGAGAAGTTTTTGACAAAATATTGGATATGTACCTCTAAGCTGTAAACGGTCAGAGGCATTAGTCCAAAGTGCTCTGCTCATTCCAATAATAATCTGCTCGCTGTTATAATAATTCCACTGTCATTTCAAGCACAAAATCTTATTCTGCATTCTAAGAACATACAAATTGTACAATGTGTGTGATGTTACCTGCATGTAATGACTTATACTTGAAACACATTTTAGACTTGTACATTGTACATTGTAGGTCCACTGTGAACAGCGTCCAGATTAAATTTGGACTGTCCAGAGCACTTTGGACAAATGCTTCTAGCTGTCTTCAGCTTATACTTACAATGCTAATATTTTGTGAACAACTTCCCTGTCACCGTATGGATCATAATGACCCCCCGGGGGGGGGGTCGTCACGCATCGTTAAAAATTTCTATAAAATCTCAAGATGTTTCAGAAAATCTCAAGATTTTCCAAAACAATCCCAAGATTTTTTGAAAGATCTCAAGATTGTTTCTGACAATCTCAAAACAATCTCAAGATTTTTTAAAAGAATCTTTTATTAATTAGATTTTTACAAACAATCTCAAGATTCTTTGAAACAATCTCAAGTTTTTTTAATAGTCATATTGAAATTGCTGTTTAAACGTTATGTAAGATTGATAATAATCAATATCAGGATTTTCCGGAGGTTTTATTGCTGTGTAAGTTCTGTTTTAGCTCGTTGACAAGAGTTTTTTTTACTTTTCTGAAGCTTGTCAATGATAGATTAACCCCATGGCCCATTCACAGTTTGACGGTTTCCTCTCTCCTTTTTTTGCATCAGTAGACTTGTTGAAATCAGTCTAGTAAAGGGTATCTCACCTCCATGCATTGGATGAAGATGACCAAGAGTTCAATGACCTCTTGCTTCTCCACCACAAAGCCTCTGGCAGCCTGCAGGTACTTCTCCATGTGAACAATGACTTCCCGGGAACTGTGAGGAGGTAATAAATAAATAAATAAGCACACATTTCTCATTGTTCTAAATACCATCGATAGTAATACTGACTTAAAGACTCAGTCTGTTATTTTAAACAATTAACTAAAATTCAACAGAATACAAAGAGGTATATTCATTAATAATTCTTATAAACAGTGCAGATTGTAGTACAAACATGTAGTACTACATACTAAATCATATCAAACATTGAGAATGAATCTTAACTAAAAGTAAGATGCATGTCCATGAGTTTCAAGAGTCTCAAACACATTTACCGTTGTAAATCAATGAATAGCATGGGCTTCACAGTATTATGCATTTGAAGTTCAACTTATCATAAAGTTCACATAAATGACTCACTTTGCTTGGAGCAGAAGTTGCAGTAGGAATGAGCGGATGATAGGTGTCTGGTCGATGCAATCATCCTCGAATGGCGTGAATTTTTTGGTTTTGGCAGCACTTTCTCCTTGACTCTTTCTCACGACATAGCCAAGAAGCATCTCCACCACGCCTGCCTCTGGAGGCGTGCCGCCAGAGAAACAGAAGCGAGACACTAGCTCCATGAAGAAAGAGTTGCAGCAACGTCTGTAGGCATTGTACTTCTCAACTGGTTCCCTGTCATTGTAAATTTTATGACAAAATTTACATGAAATAATCCAGGTATTATGTTAAATGTTCTCAATCCTGTGGCTTGTTTAAACTGATTCTGCAGAAGTATTAGACTAAACAATATTATCATATAGGCAGGTGGCGTTGACCAATCAGAAGCCGCCATTCCATATTGATTATGACACCATAATGTCACAGTTAGCATGATACAAGTATTGCAAAATCATCCCAAGTGTGCTTTATTCTCACACGTGTGCTTTGTTGCAGAATAATGCACACCCTGGAGCAAACCATTATGGGGAGTTATAGTTTAAGTTTGTATGATTGTGTTATACAGGAATTTGTCACTCTTTACTGTGTAAGTTTTGATAGGCTATGTGCGAACGAGGTGGCTTTATTCGGTGGTTATAGAAACTGACAAGGCTTTATCACATCATATATTCACCTCGGGGCGAGTCATTAACCCTTAACAGGGCTCGAAATTCATTTTTGGGAATAGGTGCACCCAACCTAAAAAATAAGGACTGGTGCACACAAAAAATTTGGGTGCACCATATAAAACAAAACCTGATTACAGATCTTACTGCTCCTCGTATGAGCTTGTATCTGAAATGGGAGCACTGACACTTAAATGCCAAGAATATCCTGTATACAATATACATTTCATAAGTACAAAAAATACCTACAGAAATATTTGGGTGCACCAGTGCTCCCACAGAAAAAAATTGGGTGCACAGCTCCAATTTTGGCTGCACTAATTAATAAGGTGCACATGCACCCGGTATTTTGAGCCCTGCTTAATTAATACCTGAGTTCCAAGGTAATGGTACACTGGAAATCTCCGGGCACTGCAGCACGGCACAGTGGACAGCTCAGTTTATCAGGGGTCAGCCATGTGCGCAGGCAACGTTGGCAGCCGACATGGTGACATGGCAGCTTCACTGGTTCCGTTAACACCTCTTTGCAAATCATGCAGTCTCGAACCCCTCCACTGCAAACAAATGAATATTAATTGCACTGCTAAAGCATGCTATTACAAACTGCATGTACACTTATATGTATTTTTAATGTTTAAGTCCTAGCCCTTGGCAAGGCTGCAATTTTGCAAAGACAACATTTTACTACCAAATTTGCAAATGACCTCCACATTAATACAATAAATGCATAGTGATGTTGACCTTTAACTGACTTACACAATGTCACAAGAAATTTCCATCATTTACCAATAACCATTTCACATCAATTATGCAAATTAGATATTACATTTGCATACAGTGTGTGTGTAATTACTATCATAATGTTAAATGTTACAGCATGCCATATCATACATTGTACATGTAGATTGCATACATTACATGACTGTATCAAAGGCCCTCTCTTTGGGTTTCTCTTACTAGCGAACGCTCACAAATGCCCAGGAATTTTCGCACGAATCTCAATTTTTTTTGTGCGGTCATGTCCAGAGTGTGCTCCCGCATGTTCATACCAAGTTTGAAGCGAATCCATCTAGCCGAACTTAAATAAATCAAAATTTACTGTTTTTTTCTCTTCTTAGCGAATACCCACTTTACTTCCGGGTTTGAAGCGAACGCCCACTACTCCTTGCAAAATATCGGCCCTAAAAGGAGTGCGCAATGCCGGCAAAATCTACCACCACATTATGTGATTTCTTAATGGTGAATGATTGGAATTTTATACCTTGTGACGTGTGTAAGTTAATCAAATGTTAACAACACTTTGCATATATCATGTTGATAAAGGGGTTATTTTCATAATTAATGAGGAAATGTTTGAAATGGAATATTGCTCAAGGAAAAGAAAAAAATAGTAGTTTGAGTTTAGAAACCCTGAATTTAACAATAATCATTGTAACCTTACTTCCATATTCAATGAGACAAATCCCCCCCAAAATCATTTACATAATAATTAAACTCAACATATTTCATGGTATGAGGTCTCCAAATTCTTTTAATGTAGCAGTCTTGGGGTACCTGGAATTATCAGAGCTGACATTACATGTATGTCTACAACACAATATATCAAGGAAGAGAAATTCACCTGAAGTATTTGGTAGCAGCGTCACTATTGCAGGATTTCAGGAACCTTTCAACTTTCTTCATGGTCTTCACACTCTTGAAATCATCATTCAAACTGCTGAGGATCTAGCATTAATGAATAAAGGAATTAGAAAAATAAATACAAAATGTATCAAATCAAAAGGTTTAAAAAAATTACTGCTTATCAAAAAAAACTTCAAAGACATCATCAGCACAGCAGCAGTTCATCCCTTGACGGAATGTTATGTATTGCGTACAAAATGTAATACAATCATTGTATAACTTTGGTAGATTCTCCTTAAACAAGCTCTATCTAGTTCAGAGTTTCACAGAGCATACATTTACAAAACTGTAATAATTATAAAACTCTGGAACAAAAGGGAGGAGGGCTTATGACAATACAAGCTTGATAAGATTTTGTTTCTTCATTTATCAAAAAAAAAGGCCAACCTCCCACAGCCTTTCCATCTGCATGGTGCTGAGGGACTCCTCACTGTCAGCAGCAGTGAACATGTGTTCCATGAACATCTGTAGGGTCTGCAGTCTGATCCACAGGAATCTGAGAATAGTAGATTGCTACATGCAATAAAACTACAAAATAATGTACATGTACATGCTTGAAGTTTTCATGTGCATTTTGGCACATCACAAACTGTACAGCCACTGTGTTTATTATGAAATTTACATATTAAATACAATACACTTAACATTCATTTCAAACATCTCTGAGTAATCTTTTACATATTAATCACTAGCTACTGAACATGGCAAAAGCCGTGAACGGACTGTGATGCAAGTAATACCTTGCCATGTTTACTTGAGTCAGACTCTTCTCCCCGTAGCACACACTGTTGTCGGGGGAGGCAGCAGCAGCGAAGACCCGCTCCACCACAGGAGCCACACACTGCATCTTCCCCAGCCAGCTCTGTCGTTCCTCAGGGGTGGCCATGTTGTGTGCGTCTGGTGTCAGGCCCTCTAACACTGCCAGCACTGCTGTGGTGTCTACAGTCTGTAAGATTGTCACAGTGACATAATTATATGCAGTTTTCATGGGTACTACTCTTGACAGTAAACATAACAAAAATAGAAAGAAGCATCCAGAAAACCTGGTCCTATAAAAAACAGCCTGTATGACAAAGGCATACTCGATACTCTTGCTGTTTTGTAAACGAAAATTGTTTCCTACAATATAATACGAAAATTGTTTCATTACAGTTGACCAAAAAAATTTAATCGTGACAAAATCACACAAAACCAGATACAAAAGCAGGGCAGTTTGAATGTGTGAAAGTGCTTCTATCTATAACCCCTTCTCTAACTTCAGCTTTGATGGATTAAATATCAGCACTTTCCACTACACTTTTACCTTTCCCACAACGCTCTTATTGCACTCTTACAGTCATTCACTTGGGCCGGATAAGTCATCGAAAGTCTCACCATTGATGTCTCTGACTGAAAGTCCAGCGTACAGAGTATGTCCAGCAGGCTGGGCGTGGTCTCCAGGAGCTGGGCCAGGTTGTGCAGACGGCCCTGCACACGGCTGAAGGCCGCGTGGACAGCTGGGATGGTCAGGCAGAACGGCTCTCTTGCTCCAGACTGGGCATGGAGCTCTTTGGCTGACAATTTCACTGCACTGCAGACCATCTGTCATACAATGTAAGTGCAGGAAGTCTCAACATGTTGTATGACATTGTATCTTCTAACATTGTAGCCATGCAATAGATGAGTTAAGAAAAGGGTTCATTGAGTAATACAGTTGAAAGAATATTCAAGTTGAAATATTATATATACCAGTAACTGTTACATGTAGGCAACAATAATGTACAGGGATGAGCATTCCATAACCATTAATTTTTGCATGATTACTTGATTTGTTATCAAGTCATCAGGAACTACTGTAACAGTACATTTCATCATTCATTTAATATCCAGAATAGAGAAGGCCTTGTTCTACCTTTATCTCTTCAACAGACGTAGTGACCATCCTGTAAGTCATCCACACGTAGTCGTGCAGATATCTGGCAGCGATGTCCTCCTCACTCTGGTCCTGTTCTGCTGCTCTGTGGATAATCTTGCCGATTGTAGACTCCCTAAACAGTCTGGGCAGTGCCTGATCCGGACTGTCAACAGTTGATCCTACAAGTAAAGAAGACCCACCAACCTTATAAAATACAGCAACTTAACCTCAAGAGGTTGGTGACAAGGAGTAAATTATCTCCAGTAATATGTCAACATGTATGTCAACAACCCTGAATGAATGTCCTGTTTAAAAGCCCTGTTTTATGTCTAGACCATCATGCTCAGGTTGACCCTAAAAGAAAGATACAAAATCTTACAGACCCTCTCTCTCTGTTTGAGACCACATTTTCTACATTTGCAAGTCACAAGCAATAGTAACTAGAAAGGCCAAAATTTGTTCATACAGGCCCACACCACAGCCTCTACACCAAGCCCAAAGAGAAAACATACCCTTCTGACGAAGGCAATAGCTTCTGCCCAAAAGTCCCTGCGATATTGCCAAGTTACATAATATATATTCTAGTCTGAAATGGAGCCTTCCCAATTTGACCTCAACTAAAAGAGATTGTTCCCTCTATTCAAGAATAGACTCTTCCACCTCACAGAAAATATAATCATCTAAATTTTTTTTTAAACACTGTTACAGTAACTGTAACTGTTACAGTAATAACCCTAGTCCAAAATTGAGAAGAAACATGGAAACAATATATTTCATATAATATATAATTTTTTTTTATCAGAATCGGATCAGAATATTACAACATTTGTCATTCTTAGCACATGGTGATATGAAAACTCTTTTATACTGATAACATGGAACATCATCACCCCTATACCTTCCAGTTTCTGTGCAGTCTTCAGCATGGCGTCCACCTGACCTCGGATGACCCAGGAGAAGGGCACCCTACACTCAAACAGCTGCTCTCCACATCCTGAACTCAGCACTGGGATCTGGGGAACGTCAAGCAACATTTCAGACCATTAGTTTGTGACTATGTGGGATTGAAGCTTCTGGGTCAGGCCATGGTGGCTGTGGGTTGTGGAAGGCCTAGACAATGACACATGCATTTCTTTAAAGATAAGAAATGAACAGCATTGGTGAAGCGTACGGGTCATATTATCAATTGCAGAGGAACCATACCATTCTACAGCACTTTTCATTAGTTAACTAGTTAGACCAATTATACTGCAATGTCTAAAATCACATATTAAAATGGGTGGAAAGCATACTTTGTATACATTAATGGTGTAAAGTATGTAAGACTTACTAAGATTACTAAATGTGTATTGAAGATTACTAACTTAAAGTTAAACTTAAAGACTAACTGTGTGTTGAATTTCACTAATACCTTTTGCCGTTGTACGTTCATAACAGGAGACAGCATGTCACTGTAGTGGAAAGGCACCAGGTTCTGGTCTCTCAGGATGTCCAGGAAGATTGGAACGGTCCATTCCCCAGCAGGGGTGACCATGTGGTCCAGGTTACAGTTCCTGTCAGCGTAGGCAACAATCTCAGCCAGCAGAGGGGCTATCACTGAGGACAGGTGGTTCCAGGCAGACTGTCTGAAATTTCAGAAAAAAAGTAACCATAATAATTATTGATAAATTCATGTATGTCTTAAGTATTCCTGAAGTGTGAAAAAAACAATACACTCAGAAAGAAATTGTATTGTTTTACTGCAATATAATTTTATGAAGCTTCACAAATCTTATACCTGTATACACCTGGAGCTGAAAAGTACATATAAGTGGATATTAAAATTAACAGTTAACACTTGTGCTAGAGTATCACCTTGATGACAGATTTTTCAACTTTCATCATCACATGATCAAAGAATGACTTGAATGTATGGTATAACTGTTGATTCATACATCAATAATTACCTTTTAGCACCAAGGACAGGGATATAAAACTGCATCACATCATTGTCCCTTCCAATTGTGTCTCTCTGTTAGTCTTTATTGCTGCTATGGAACATTGGTACATGTATATTCACTCTACCTCAGTGTCCCTGTCTCCATGAATGCCTTGGGTGTAGTAATCAGTATCAACAACAGAAATACATTATACAAAAACTACATGTATACAGTCACCGTGCTTTGATCCTCCATTGTCTTGAAGATTTCTGTTTCTTTGCATTGTTGCTCTGAAAGAAGAGTGCAGGTTCACTTCTCCCTACCTGAGTGTCCCTGCTTCTGTGATAGCCTTGAGTGTGGCAGCTTCATTAGTCAGCCAGTTCACGCCTCCATCTGGTTTGTTTTCCTCCTTTTCTTCCAGCAGCTGCACGATGCGAGCCTTCACCACATCACAGAAACTGGGACCTGAAATGATCATTTCTGATGAACCCTGACCACCCATCCATACTTAGTGACACCTGACTTGAAAATGCTAGATCTAAAAATCATAATGCTCCTTCACTACCTGACTGTATTATGCTATCTTTACTGTATTTTTCAACTTTTTCATCATATACATACAGTAGAATATGCAATGGTTAGATTCAAAATCCAGGCAATGGTAAATAAAAACGATCAATTAATTTTCCTAATCCTTAAACTAGCAAGCTAGAAGAGAAAATTAGCTGAGCTACACGTACAGTGTATGTGAAGAACTATATGCATTCATTCCGTACAATAACACTGCTTTGCAAAAACCTTTCTCCATTCTCTCCTGTAGAAGGTCCTTGAGCTTCTCAATCCTGGTTACAGTCCTTTCCTTTGGCAGATCCTTTGGATTCTTCAGCATGGCGGCTGTTGCCTGGATACAGCTAACTAGGAGCACCATATCATCCAATACAGACACCTGGGAATGGTACACACAACCACGGAGGTATGTTACTATAATCTCCAAGCAGATCCCTTTCGATGGCAAGACAGTTATCCATTAGCCAGAGAACTTTTGCCAGCCGCCAAAAATCTACTGACACTGAAACAGGGAAGAGCATTTCTTTTGAAAATTGGCGTTGTTGCCCCTCCCTGTTGACCATTAACACCAATGTGAATCATACAGGCGCTAAGGCTTTTACAAGAAATGTATAGCTTCAATCTGGGACAAAGTCAGTCACCCGCACACATCTCAGTGGGAGTTCATGTACCTTTAAGTTACTGAATCAGATAATACTGTCAGCTGGTACTAAAAGATGCTGGCTGAAATACAGACAATAGCCTTCTATGATGGTCAGGGCAATAAACTACTTGACAAGCACAGTTTAATTAGCCAACAATAAAATAGCATTTGACATATTGACTGTCTGTAGATCCTTTGGACTACAGATGGGAGGGGGCGCAACGAGCAGAACAAGACAGGAGCAGATTGAAGGCAATGAAGGCCCGCCTCAGCAGCAACTGATATGCGGTGAGGGAGAGAGATCCTTCGGCAGCTGGCAAAACTTCTCTGGCTAATAGATACTGTCTTGCCACTGAAAGATATCTGCCGGGAGATTACTGTTACTACCGTAATAACTACGGTATTCTTTCCCATTGCTAGGCGCGTTTGAAAACAAGATTTTGATATTTTTCGACGAATAGAAGAATAAGATCAAAAATCGTGTTTTAGGAATTTTTCAATTTCTGATTTTAAGTCTAGTTTTTTGTCGGCATATTGGTGAAAAAAACATTTTTTGACATTTTTCGCAGTAAATTACGATTTTTGGGACAACCACTTAAGTTATTTTGAGCCGTGAATGAGGTATGTTGGAGTCTCCAGGCTTCCAGGTTTAAACAAGTTCTGCAGACATGTCATGTCGCCCAAAAGTGTGCATTGTATTATTTATACAGTATTCGAGGTCACACACGGATAAGACAGTAGCCTTGCTACATGTAACATGTCCACAAAAAATGATAGCGGACTTGTACTGTCCAGGAAACAGTTTGTATCTGTAGAAACGTGTTAGTTTTTATCTGTTGCAAGGCACAGAGGGGGAAGGGCTGGCTTTTGCCGGTTTATTGTAAATGACCCCAGGTGACCCCCAAATGGAATGCGAGTTTGATTCAAATCACCCAAATTGAACACGATCAAACACTGTTCAGCTTCTATGAAAGGTGGGAACTTTGCAGCCCGTTTTGACCACCGTGAACCAGGGCAAGAGATGTAATGAACAATCATGTACAAAAAATTAACTTAAGTTTATTGCAGACATAATCAGGATGCTATGACTTTGGACAGGTTGCCACTGCATGCCTACAAAGGTGGTAAGTTAAGCCAAAGGCAGTTGACCGAGTCAGAATCTTTGCACAGGCGAAAGAAACTCAGTACCATTAACTGTATTGGAATTCAAAATATGGAATAAGAAGAAATGACTACAAAAAAGTTAAAATCTAAGTATAAAACTGTATAATAATTATGACATTTTCTATTAGGTCCCCCACCTCACATAATTCTTTATAAACAAAAGGAACCAAAACTCTACAATAGAAAACCAACTTGCTTACTTGCAAATCTTCAAATCTATGTAACTCCTTATACTTGTCAGTTGTATTTGGTTGTGGGTCTACCTCTTCCTTTTGTGCAGTGAGTTCAAGCTCAATGTCATCCAGGTCCATCCCCTCCAGAGTATCCCCTCCATCTCTCTCCATGGCAACCTCCCGGGGTTCTTCATCCTCCTCTACATCCATGTCCTCTTCCACACCAGCGTCAGTACCAAGGACAGGATCCTCCTCCTAAACCGAACATCAATTTCACTTGAATGTACTCGTATGCATTATAAATACCATAATTATGCTGTTGTTGTACTAACAAGCCAGTTTATCTACTGATTATATATGTACATGTACTAGTAGCTACTCATCACCATAACCATAAGCTACTCAGCTTGAAGGACAGCCTCCTCCTAAACAATGTATCAATTTCACTGTGTAAGGCCACACTGACTTAATCTTCATAATGAATGACTTGATCTGAAGACCCCAAATTTAATGTGAAGTTTTGTGGAGGTTTGGCAGTCTGGGTGCCATCATCAGTAGTTGCAGCTGGCACCAGGCTTCAGCCTTGAGGAGGTTTTTTTTAGAACAGTCTAAAATCAATGCGTGCTCAGGCCACACCAATTTAATTTCTTGGTTAACGGAATCGCCGCTTCATTTTTTTCTGATTTTGCAAATAAAAATTCAGAATCAACAGTACTGCAAAATGCTCATATTTTGCCGTGAACAGTTGAAAACAGCCCAGGCCTTTTCTTACTACTTGTTACAGTCATTCCATATTTCAATGCAATGGTATCATTAAAAGTTCAAAATTCATTGTTTAAATTTTGAACCAGCCTGGTGGTTGACTTCATGGCTCCTATCGTACCATTTTGGGCCATAATAGGATGCCTAGACCTGTTTTTATTTTAATTTTTTTCCGCCCACCCGCTCCATCATCTTTCTAGAAAAATCTGTTAACCAAGAAATCAAATTGGTGTGGCCTCAGATGTCATCCATAAAATTTAGCGTGGCCTAAATGTGTAATGTCCTTAGATGCATTAAATATATATTCAATATGCTGTACATGTAACTACACTTTATGATCAGTATACATGCAGCTGCCCATCAGCATAGCACACCAACTTCAGCACCAAGGACTTCTCCTCCCAAACAAAGTATTAAATTCAATTCAATTTATTTATTTAACCAGTAATTACAACTTAGGCCATTTTGGTCTGCTTTTCAGGTAATCCTGGATAGTACACATAAAATTACACACAACAAATACACAGTACATAAACTATTACTAAATACAACATCCTAAACATCAACAGTGTCAAATCCTGCATCTAATGTTCTGTATAAAAGTAATTGATATTCAAGGTCAACCATGATGACAATAGTAGCTCTGTTACATATTGCATATGTCCACTACAAATGAAAACAGCGAAGTACTTTGCAGAAAATGGTTTATATTTGATAAGGTGCTTTTTTCTGTCACGAAGTGCCCACATAGAAAAGTGCCTGGAAAGCTGGGTTTACTGTAAAAGACTGCTGGTGACCCCAGATAGCACGCCATTCAGTTCGAATTACGTCAGATCTAACATGATTCGGGTTCTAAAGCATGTGGGGACATTGGGGCCCATATTTGACTTCAATATACCTGAGATAATAAACAGTTTTGTGGTTTAACACACACCTCCATCTGTACTGATCTGTCAACAGCATCCACATCCATGGAGCGTGTGTCATCCTCCTTCCTGTGCCCCCCCAGCAGCTGACTGATTGGCTTGTTTATCATCTGGGCAGGGTCAGGTGCGTCACTCTGCGGCGGCTGCAGGTTGTCGATGTGTGCACACGTCCACCTGCCGCCCTGGAACCCCACGAAGCAGCCTCCCGGCAGGCGGGGCAGCTGCACGATGAAGACCAGGTGAGCCGTGGTGTTGCCCACCTGTGTCTGTTCGTCCTGCACGCAGTACCGGGCGCAGGCTATCAGGTTACTGTTGGTGTGGCCAGAGTCACACTGGACCACCAGGACGGACTCCTCGCGTAGTGTTAATGTCAGGAAATCTCTGTAAAGATAACAAAAACATGTTGCACTGAGAGCGTATTGTCTCATTATTCCACATGTAGAAGTACAGTCACAACAAAAGATACACAGAGAATAGTGTGATACCTGTCATATGATATCAAATTGTTGTAAATTCGTAGATAAGTATCATGATGCACCAAACAACTTGAAGACTGACCTGATTTGCTTACAGAACTGAAGCTCAGTGTCGAACTGTTGCAGTGACATGACCGCTACATGAGATGGCGGCAGGTCCAGAGCTGTGGCCAGACTCAGGGCATCTGTCTGAGACAGCAGCTTGGAGTGGGTGGTCACCTTTAGAAACAGAACATAACTTTGAGGACCTATAATAAAATGCCCCTCTAAACACATATAGCAATCAAACCATTTGTCATCAAATCCAGCAGCAGCATTTTAATTAGAATTGGAAGGTAAAGGATATCCATCATCGTGGATTAAAATCTAAAGGCAAATTCATATTCAATTTCAAATTCATATTCAATTTCAAATTCATATTCAATTGAGAAATAGCAAATTTGCAATCTTCTGTTGAAAATTATTTCAGGAGCCTTACTTAGAAAGGGAAACATTGTAAATTTTCATCAGATTTGTTGTTACAGAAGAATCACCTGTGTTAGTACATTTTAATTTGGTAGGACGTTCTGCACCTGAGCTAAATGTGGAATGTAATGTGCATATAGCACTATGGAACGTATCATTTCAGGCTTCTGCAGTTTTCATATGTTGTATTGAAAATGATAAATGGCAAGAGACAAAATTCTGATACAAAATTGATCAATCATCCAACAGAAAGCGTCCTTTTGCACTGATGCAGTATGTGTACATGTAAGTGTACCTGTGTCTGTATGCCCTGCTGCCACCCTCCTGCCTGTCTAGCCTGGTGGATCCTGTGACACAGGAACTTCTGCAGACAGGAGTGGTGCTGCTGATTGAAGTACTTGTCCTTCAGGGCAGCTTCTTCTGACGACAGTTTGGACTTGGACAGCCTGACCACAGCGTCTGGTGTGGCACACTGGAGGAGAAGGTCCTGCGCCTTCTCAAGTATCTGAATATCATGAAGTCAGGCATATATGGTTGGAATGTAGAATGATTTAAGAATAATATAGTCTAGTTAAATCATGCCTTACTACCGTAATGTTTGTGTCGCAATAAGTGGCTAGTTTCTGTCTAAGCAGCTGGCACATCATGGCGGATTTTTCGTGCCGTGCCGCTGAACTCCACTGAAGATCGTAAAATATGATTATCAATTTGAAACTATTTTCTGACCGAGTAAAGTCAACAGTTTGGGCCTTATATCAATGTGGAAACCGTAAAAAACAGCCATTCTGGGTGCCCCATATTGCACCCTGGGACTGCCGTCATTGCGTGTTCCCTGTGCAATTTTGACACCGTCGAAATGCTTTGTGGCACGCTTACATAGCTCAACAAACAGGAAACCTCACCTCTTCCTCCAGTAAAGGGTCATCTGTGTCTACCCCACTCATCTCTGAACAGACCTGGAACACCAGTGTAGCGGCCGTGTCAGGATGGTAACCAACAAAGGCATCTCCTACTGTGTACAGGTCCCTGAAACAAGTTGAAAGTGTCTGTTGAAAATGGGAAGTAGTGACCAAAACGTACACTATCGGCGGAAAACTATAAGGAACTTAGAGCTACATTCATTATACAGCCAAACCTCTGCAAGCTGGCCCCCCAACTTTTTCTTGGCCCCAATAATTTCCCCATTGATGCAAGAATTTAAAGCAACCTGTCCAAGGTGACCACCTGGCTAATGCGTCTGCAACAGCCCTGAATTGCATCCGCTCAAAGCCCAATGGTGACCACATCATTTTCGATCATGTTGATTATTGATGGAGAAACCAGCCAGTTTGCCTCGACTGCTGGATGATATTTTTGTTCAACGTATTTAATTGTTCTATGTTCCACCCTCCCCACACGCATTCACCACAGAACTGAAGATGATTGCAGCATTTGACATTAAAACATCTGGACTTGAAAACCATTTATGCCTCAATCATGTTGTGAGGAGACCCTCTTTAAGGAGACCACCTGTCCAAGGCCGTCACTTTTCTTTGGTCCCCTGGGTGGCCGGTTTGGACAGGTTTGACTGTACTCATGGCGGTTGGTTGCTGGGCTAAAAGTCGCATTACTAGGGAGGTATCGGGTTACAGAACGCATTTGAACGTGGCTGCGTGGGAGTCCCGGGCCGGCCCGGGGGTAACGGTTAAAATTTAGAAATAAACAAATGGAGAATAAATACTTGTCAAAATAAATTGTAGCAAGTGATTAGATTTGTTTACATTAAATGAATTGTTAATCTTTTGCTGCCTTTGCTCAACTTTATGTACATTTGCTTCCAAATGAGATCAATTTCCGATTTCAAAAAGTGTTCACAAGAACCAAAGAAGAAGCCATAGGCGACAATTCTCCGTGAAGTATTACATATTGCAACAAAAAGAAGTAGCCATTGGTGACAATTCTCTGTGAAGTGTGATAAATTGAACAAAGAAAAATTGTTTAACCCTCAACAGTACACCTTCCCGGACTGATTAATCTGTACACCTGGGGTCCGCGCGGACCCCAAGACAGTTTTTTGCTAATTTTAAGAAATTATCAACATACTACCAGCTCAATTGCTTTGCAAATTGATGTGTGAACCTCTGAGTCCACATTACGTACAAAAATCATACATTTTGACCTTTTCCTATTTTTTGGTCAAGAAAAGAAAAAAAGAAGAAATACCCGATTTTTTAACCCTATTCAGACCGAGTGTTTTTTTGAGACCCGCGCCAACTTTAATCTCAAATAGCGCATGAACGGCTTCAGCTAGAACCATGAAATTTGGTGGACACTTCTAAAATATATCTGGGAAAAATTTCATATTAGTTAAATAAGTTAATGATTTTTTGTGTTGCCATGGCAACGGGTTCCTGACAGGCAGTTTAATGGGAAAAATCAGTAATTTTGGTCTAAACATTAAAATTTTCTGGGTTTTATATTAAATAACTGTTCCTTTCTGGCATTAATAACATCTTACATAATTAACGATAAGTTAAATCATTTAATATCAATAATATATGCTAATTTGATGACGTCATTGGTCAAAATCCAAGATGGCGGACCACATTATTGACGTCATATGACGTCGTTTGGATTCTGGAACATTCACAGATTAGGAAAGAAAGTAGATGATAGTTACTTTATTGATGAAATAGAAGGGTTCGACTTTTTCTCCCTACTTGAGACGTGGCACACAGGTTAGCTTTATTTTCCTAATCTTCTTCATTTTTGTAGCACCAGAAAGAAGTCAAAAAAAGCTAGACGTAATTCTGGTGGCATAGTATTTCTCTTCAAAAAACAATATAGCAAATTCATCTCAAAACTAGAGTTCCACGATCTCATACCTTCGCCAAATGATGTTAGCTTTTATGATTAAGAAATTATATATTAATCCCCCTAATTATGCAAATAGGATCCTCAATTGCATGAATTATATCTGTTGATCATATTCTCCACCAAAAGACTTATCTTAACAAAGAATGCCATGATGACATTTTCTCATGGATTATGCAAATGAGGTCCTTATTTGAATAAGTTATGTTTAATTATGTTCACCTTAACTTAACTTTCAAACACCCCAAGTATAAAATTCCAGGCAGTTACCACTATGCAATTATAATATTTCCTCATTAATTATGCAAATTAAGTCTTCATTTGCATAATCGATATCTGCCTGTGTTTCTCTCATTCTTAATAACATATGTCACAAGCTTGAACTTCCTATTATGGAATGCAGCTGATAAATAGAATGTCCTCATTAATTATGCAAATTACATCCATATTTGCATAATTGTAATATCATTATGTCAAGCATCACTCAAGCTACCTACATACCAAAAATCACGATGATCCATCAATCGGTTCTTGAGTTATCCCCCTTTAAACATTTGTCCATTAAACCCCCCTGCAGTTCTAGAGCAAGCAACTAGGGGGCTCAAACTCATGTCACTTTATCCCCAGCACAAGAGCTACCTGCCATCCAAATTTCGTCACCCTAGCATGTCTGGATCATGAGATATCAAAACCGGAAGTTCTGCTGCAGTACCATGACAAGCCGCCAGGTGGCCCAAAATCTAATCATTTTGAGGTCTCATCAAGACCTACCCACCTACCAAGTATCAAGACAATCCATCAAGACCTTCTCAAGTTATCGTGTTGACAGACAGACACACACACACACACATACACGAACGCCCCTGAAAACATAACCTTCTTGGCGAAGGTAATTAGAAAGCAAAACTGAAGATATCTTATGGGTGAAAATTGACAAACAACTTCTAAGTACCGACAGAGATATTTATTTAGCATTTATATACATCAGTCCTAACCGATCTACAGTCCATGCTAACAGGACATATGATGTTTTTGATATTTTAGAGGAAGAAATTGCTTTATACAGTTGCCATGGTGAGGTTATAGTCGGGGGGATTTCAATGCCCGTGTCGGGAACTTAAAAGACCACATAGTTGACGATTGTCCCGCAGATAGTCTTCCCGAAAACTACAGTTTTGACCACCTGTTTCCACGAAATAATATGGATCTAGGTAACCCCACTCCATTCGGCAAAAACTTGATTGAGGTATGCATAAACAGCAAATTAAGAATATTAAATGGTAGGACTCCCGGAGACGTACTAGGTAAACCTACATGCTATCAGCCCAATGGCTCTAGTGCTGTAGATTACGTTCTAGCTAGTGAAAACATTTTCCTCCATAAAATCTCTTTCTTCCATGTTCACCGCTAACCCCACTCTCCGACCATTGTAAACTCTCCATAATTTTACATAGCAATGCTAACCGATTCTCTGAACAGACTACTAACACATTGTCTACTCGGCCACATTGTAAATTTGTATGGAGAGCTGACTCCAAACAAAAGTTTCTAGAAACAGTAAATAGCCTCGAATTTACCTCCGCCATGGAAAACTTTCTCAACAGGAGCTACGAGGCAACCCCAAACTCTCTTGACGCCGCTTTGAATGACTTACGATGTAGTTTCTCCTCTACAAGAGGCAGGCAAAAAATCACTAGTTCTTCGCCGTACAAGGCAAGCAACTCATTCCCGCAACAAACACAAAAACAAAAAGAAATGGTTTACTGAGAACTGTGCTTCTGCCAGAAAGAAACTAAAAGACCTTGGCAAGCTCCTGTCGAAAAACCCTAGGGACACGTCGATGAAGGTTAGACATCCAGGTAATACGATACGCCAGAAAACAGTTACTCAACCAACAAAAACAAGGCCAACATCACTATTCCGTATGTCCAAGGAGTATCTGAGAAACTCCGACGGATCTTCCAAAACTTCAACATAGCCACTAACTTCAAACCTCACTCAACCCTCAGACAAAGACTGGTACACCCTAAGGACCGACCTCACAAAGGTACCAAGGCGAATGTTATTTACAGACTCAAATGTGAGGAGCCCAACTGTAACAACACCTACATCGGAGAGACAAGCCGACCGCTCAAAGTAAGATACAAAGAACATTGCCGACCTACAGTGCCAACGGCTACTCCTCAGCTATTTTCCACCACCTACAACACAACCAGGGTCACTCTTTCAAACTCGAGTCCACGGATATCTTAGACCGCGAAACACGCTGGTGGGAACGGGGTGTTAAAGAGGCAATATATGAAAGAATGTACAACCCCACCCTCAACAGGGAAGGGGGGCTACGGGTCGATCTTTCCGGCACTTGGGATTTGGCACTCCCAGCCCCGAGGACAGACAACACTTAAGCTCCTGTTCTGTATAACAGGAGCTTTCAGACTAATTTGCATCATCTTGTCTTGACTTGTCTGACTTTTGTTCCTTTTTTGACTTCCCAAAATTTGTCTTCACTTTATTTGCATATCAATCAACAGGTTGTACTTATTAACCTGCTTTCCCCTCTGGTCTCTCAGTCACTGACGAAAGCTAGTGGATACTAGCTGAAACGTCTGACGTTTTCAAATCATATCCAGTTGCTTGAGTAACCCTAGGGACCCTTTTATTAGAGGCCTATATTTTATAGAAGAAAAAAGGAATACACCCGACTTATACGGAAAACTAAAATTACCTATAAAAACAATATCCTCCATCAATTTAATTCTTACTCTGGCAACAACCCGTCAGCCTTTTGGGAGCTGGTTAAACAGTTCAAAGCAAATGATTCCATCCCTGTAGAAGACACAATTAACAAACAGGAACTCCACGAACACTTCCATGGGTTGTACGGAAGAGACAGTACACCTAAGCCCCCTGAATTCAACAATCTTTTTCATACTCAGATAGTAAATAAATTATTAGAATTAGAAGAACAGTCCGAAAGCCTAAATTGTTTAGATACCATGATACTACAGCAGGAAATTATGCAAGCAATCACTCAATTAAAGTATAAGAAAGCCTCTGGCAACGATCTTATTATTAATGAGATGCTAAAATGCGCATCTCCTATCCTTGTCAAACCCCTGACCAAATTATTCAATTTGTTTCTTTTATCCGGACACTTTCCCCAACAATGGCGCGTAAGCCACATCGTTCCACTGCATAAAGGTGGACCTAAAGAAGATCCCAACAATTATCGGGGTATCTCAGTTATTAGCTGCCTCGCTGTTATTCACAGCTGTAATAAACACACGTCTTACTAATTACCTAGATGAACATAACCTCATTTCCCCTAACCAGGCCGGCTTTAGAAAAAACTTTCAATTGGAACTAACGACAACCTCTTCGTCATTGATACATTAATATCTAAATACACTAACGCCAATAAACGTCTTTATGCATGCTTTGTCGATTTCCGTAAAGCTTTCGATAGCGTTTGGCGCGAAGGACTGTGGTATAAACTACTCAGCTCAGGAATAGGTGGTAAATTCTATAGTTTAATCAAATCTATGTACACCAACCCACAAACTTGTGTCAAAACGTCAGCCGGCCTCACACCATTGTTTATTACTGACAAAGGAGTCAGACAAGAATGCAACCTCAGTCCAACCCTCTTTAACATATTCATAAACGACCTAGTTAATGACTTAGATAATATTGATTGCGCCCCACCCACCTTACACAATTTACTGGTATCTTGTCTGCTTTATGCAGATGACGTTGTGATGTTTTCGGAATCGGAAACAGGGTTACAATGTGCGCTAAACAAACTTAACTCATTTTGTGAGAAATGGAACATTCAAGTAAACCTTGAGAAAACCAAAGTGATGATTTTCAACAAAACAGGAAGAACATTCAAGAACACCAAATTTTCCTTCGGCGCAGAAAATATCCAAATCACAAGCTCATATACCTACCTAGGTCTAATCATGTCCTCGTCCGGCAGTTATTCTTTAGCCAAAAAACAATTATCTTTAAAAGCTCGTAAAGCAGTATTTAGTCTTAAACCCCTTATTCGCACCCCTTTGTCCCCCAAGGCCTTACTCAAACTCCATCAAACCTATAATGTTATACGCCTGTGAGATCTGGGGTAAAGTTTACTCAAATGACAATTGTCCTGTAGAGATAACTCAGAACCGCTTCTGTAAAAATATTCTTGGTGTGCACAGGAATTCTAGTAACCTAGCAAGTAGGGCAGAACTTGGGTTGTTCCCAACAGATATAGATGTATCCGTCCGTGTAGTTAAATACTGGTTAAGACTTAAACAACTGGACACTTTCACACACCCCTTACAAGTAGATGCATTACTCTGTCAGCAACACAATATGGGAAATAGTGGTAAGAAAAGCTGGCTACACCATGTCAAAGAAATAATTAACAATGCAGGCTATTCTTTTTTATGGAACACCAACCACTGTACATTAGACAACAACAGCATATGTACATTGTTGAAGAGAACTCTGACTAACTGATATGTATGTTCAAACGTTCTTTCACCAATTGTCTGTAACTAGCGGCAAGCTAAGATTTTACAAGACTCTCAAATCCGACTACTCTATGGAAAAATATACCACAATGAATTTGACGAGCGAACTGCCATGTGTAAGATTAGAATAAGTGCGCATCCACTAGAGATATAGAAAACTACCTGTGCACGAGAGATTATGTAAATATTGTACAATGAATGCAGTGGAAAATGAAATACATTTTGTTAGCCAGTGTCCTCACTACGAGACCGAAAGAAACAGATTATTTCAGACAGTTACAACAATTTCCCCATCCTTTCGTCATTTAGAAGATCACCAAAAAACTGCATTCCTACTAAGATCACAAAACCCACTAATTATGCTGAATGTGGGACTATTCATTATCCACTGCCTTCAAAGAAGAAGTCGAACCCCATAATAGCTAGCGTAGTAGTAGAAGTAGAAGTTTTTTCCAGACAGTTGTTACCTGTCTCCTGTTACTGTATTGCAATGTATTTTATTCTTGATTGTAAAAGCAATTAGCCTTCGGGCATGATTTTGCGAATAAAGTTTCTATGACGTCATAATTACACCAAAGTTGTTAGAATTTAATTCTATTGTTACTGTTTACAGTAACACCATTCTCTGAAAAGTCGGTGGCCATAAGAAAAGTGCAAAAAAATCATATAAAAACGCTAATAAAGTAATGTATAAGAACGCCAGTGTATGATTACGATCGAAAGCCGGCTGGGGTCCGCGCGAACCCCAAAAGAAAATCAGATATAAAAATTCTTAGAAATGGGGGAAACTGAGTTTTTTGCACTGTATTAAGGGACAACTTTGTGGGTTACAATTTCCTGAAATTTCAGAAAAAAATCTTTAGAAACAAAAAAAATATTACAGAATATATAGTGCTGGGGTCCGCACGGACCCCAGGTGTACTGTTTAGGGTTAAACGCGCATCGGCTCAGTCATGTTAAGACGCAACAACGAATCAGAGATGCGAAATGCCGACACGTGACGCGGGATTTGCATACAGTCTAAACAACGGGGAAGGGCGCGCCATGCCCGAAATATTTTTGCGTCAATATTCAGCACCGTGTTTCAAGAGATTAATACCGGGAAACAATTTCTTTTCTTGTTTTGAACGCATAAACATGCATTTACACTAATCTAGTATGATTCAGGGTTACTTTTTTTTTTTACCTGCCATGGCCAGATTATCTAAAGATGTGTGTATTGTGTGTACAATCTACAGAAAGAGAAATGTACATCAGGTCCGATCATCCGATTTTCACGTTTCGGTTTTTTGGACTCGGTTTATGAACGTATTTTGGTTTGGCTCCTGGAATGTGCGAAAAAAATGACTCCTGGGACTGTCTACAGGGAACACTCGCATATTGCCCAACATTCGCGGTGTATCAGGACAGCACGACTGGCCGAGCAACCAGTCGGCATTAGCACAGTCCCTGTAATTGATAACAGTTGCACATCAATCCGGCCGAAAGCTGATGATGATGATTGTGTAACACAGGCAACTTCTTCATATACCGGCTCATACTACAAGACGCCTTTACAACTAGCAAATCATAAAGTTACCCTATCTACTAGTATGTGCGGTTTACCAGCCCCAGACCACATCCGACCACGAGGCAGAACACATTGATGGGTTGCTCAAAAATATTGTCCATGTTTACAAAGAGCTGCTCCACTAACACTATGGAGCGGCCCAACCCAAAAATATTGCCCATGTGTACAGAGAAGTGGCCAGCATGCTCGTTGCTAGGACGACCGGCCAGTTGCTACGTGACTAAATACACGCCGCCACTAGGTCGCCACAGCCGACCAGTTTGAAATCGATAGGATTACGTCATCGGTATTTACATTTCGTAATGTTGAACTCTGACTACCCCACATTTCCGTCCCCATCAGCCTGACCGCGACTTACTACCGGTCACATAAACGGGCGAAAACATTTCAACGACATGGGGATGTTTCGAAAATAAGCATTTACTCCAATATCAAAACAGCTACGGTAAAAATAAAAAGACGTGCATCATCCCGGACATAATGCCACACCACATGCGAAATTACACAGAAATGCAACGTACTGAAGAATGCGTTTTGGCTGCGAACATCTTCCAAAAAATTTGCCATCTCTTAAGCACGGGCAAAAACATCTGGAACCACTTATCAAAACCACCCCGTATCTGCATGAAGTTCCACCCCCCCACTGCTATTCCAAACAACGCGTTTTTCTGGACCATTCCAATTCGCCTCGTAATTGTAGGGGTGCGTCTGCAATATTACATTGACCACGAAAGCAGCAACGGCAAAAATACACATTCGTGCATCAACACGGGCATGCCCGCAGACGGCGTATAAAATTGCGTGCCGATTACACAAAGAGAACCCAGTGTTTTGACTGCGAACATGAAAAATCAGCTCTTCACAACACTCCGTCCGGACGTCCTGACCCCCTTCACGGAGCACTGATTTTAAGGGGCAACAAAGATAAAAAATAAGGTTTTATTTTTGAATTTTTAGAAATATTAGAGTAAATCTAAACTTTCCATCTTAGGATTATCCATTTTTTTTCCTAAAACTCAAATTTATATACAGCCAAAAGTTTTAAAACTTTAAATACCCATAATTCATTAGCCTGGCCATATTTAAGAAATTCCTAAGACAGAAATCTGTGGAAATCGTTGCTCTTCCAAACAAGCCGTCAGTGAGGTAATTTGAACGATTTTTAGGAGTGGTTAAAATACCATGTTTGCACGAATGCCACGCTACTTGGAGGTGAAGACTTGAATTTGATCATGATAACGGCGTGAATTCTGACCTTCAAGGTCACCCATGATGACAGCAGTAGCTTCGTTACATGTTACATAATAATAAAATCACGACATTATATAGTTATTATGGAAAGGTCTTAAAGCAGCAGGTTGTATATGTAGCTTGCTTACTGTACATGTAAATGACCACAGGTAACCCTCGATCGAACAACCATTCGGTTCGAATATCAAACAGGATTCACGGGTTCTATCTCCATAGCTGCAGTAGAGTGCAACTTTTCAGCCCCAATTTGACCATCGTGACTACTGCACATCAAACTGAAATGAATATAACTATAGATGACAAGAAACTACATGACAATGAAATAAAACAGCTCCTGAAAATAGTCAAACATTATAGGCCATATTCAATGAACAAAGACTCATCTTCTAATGTTAGGGAACATTGAGTCTTGTAAATCATGCTGCCATTGATTTGATGGTAAGCATATCAGCTGATTTAGAACCTAGCGCTACTACTAATAAATAACATTTTTTTAAGAAGCAGACAATACAAGAGTTTGAATCCCTGCATTCCCTCATTGTACAAAAACTGGTCAGGAGTGTTACATTGTACATGTACCTCTTGAGGTAGTTTACCAGTTTGGCAAGTTGAACATGTACATGAGAACACATCATTTGTTGTGACCATGATGTAACAGAATACGACAAGGGAAAGTTCACTTTGCCCCTAAGAAAACTATGTTGTACAATGTATAAATTGATTTACCAACTGGATGAAACTATTCACAAACTTACTTGACAGTTTCATAAGGTGCAGTCCTCTGTGTGGCAAAAGCCTTGGCCCGTCCATCCAGCCTGTCAGCGATGGCCTTCTGCTGGGGGGTCAGAACAGTGGAGATGGCCAGGAAGTGTTTCTCCAGCCGGTTGATCAGTGGGATGGGAAACCTCTCATACACAATGTCCTTCTCTGCAATAACTACCAGCCTGGGAGAGAGAGCAAATAGTAAGTTTGGTTTATAAAATTACATCCTGAACTTTATGCTTGGATATTTGATATCATCATATTATAGAGGGACCGATGAACTTCCCTCATCAATGAAAGACAGACTATGATGATGATAGCCAGAGAGCCATCCAGAATGTATGTGGAAACAATGTCCAAATCACAAATTTCTTATCTGCCTTCCTACTACGATGTTTCACGAGTCTCATAGCCCAACAAGTTCCACCAAACGCACAGCCAATGACCTGAAGTTGTGTGCCCAAACTGCATGTTTTGAGGTAAACAAAGCTTTACCTGAAGTTTTGGTGGACTCGACATTTGAACCTGTCATGATCAAGTGATGAGCCCAGACCCAGATCCACGTACCGCTGACCTCCGAAGTACACATAGTACTGCATGGGGAAAAACACTCTCAGTACAGTATTCAATCTTTAATATTTATTGTTACAGTAATATTTAGCAATTCTTAACATAATACGTACACCAAACATGTCAAGACAGAGTCTATGAAATTATGTAAGGCACTACTATCTACACCCAAAATAGACGACTCAGCTACCCACCAAACCACCTATAATATATGTTCATGTTTACGTTTTACACCTTTGAATGTAAAAGCCTTAGTTGCCATATACATAAAATTAATGTTACTGTATTATACAATTATAACAATATTATTACTTAAAATGAATCCCTGCTCACCTGGTTGAGGGCATCATAAAGACTTTCGTACAGGTTCTCCAGGTTGAGCAGCACCACAGTCCTCCCTGTCTCCATACACACCTTGATACGGTTGATGTTGCGACACACCTGACAGTGCACAATATTATCAGAACTCATCATTCTGCAAAAATGATCTACATTTTGGACAATCATTGATCAAACGGCAACAGGACTTTATACTGTCTGAAGATGGTGCAAATATCCCAATGGCATGATCATGATAGTACATGACGTGTAGATTGTAGTTTGGTCTGGAACAATATAATGGTTGGTACATGTAACTATACAATGTAAACTTCTTACAATTGTGCCATCAACTTCTATTTGCTTAATTCATCAACCAGACAAACTTTCTTAAGTTATAGAATAACTGAATTGACTGTTTGTACTCCAGGTCCTTAGGAAAACTGTGTCCTTACCTGTGTGTACTCCAGGTCCTTAGGAAAACTGCTGCCAAAGATGATGACTGTGTCAGACATGGACAGTAACTCCTGCTGCAGGATCCCCAGCGCTGCATAGTTTTGAGTTAGAACCATCAAGTAACGGCTCTCCCTGGAACAAAGGGTTTACTATTTAAACTTGACATGGACAAGCAGCTAACAAGATAAACAATAACAAAATGGGGGGGGGGGTGACAAATCTAAACAGCAAGAAGTTTATAACAAAGTGATAAACTTATCTAGAGGTCGGAGATCTCATGCCTTCATCAGAGGTACATTGTTCTAGATAAACATTTTTTAATACTAGAAATCAATTTGGTCTAAAGTACAAAAGAATCTCTGTGCTCCTTTCATTCTTCCTTTTTTATTCTACAAAACACCCCAAAAGGGTTTGCCACAGACTTACAGATGCACTGTCACCGTTTTAGGCCCCCCGTTATTTGATTTTGGATGTGATCTGATATTTTCTTTTGACAATTTCTACCACTCCCTACCTCAATTCCACAATTCATAGGCTCTCAATACATACAACTGCAACTTCCTTTTCACATGAAACATAAACGAGGGTTCAATTGTTTATGTCGATAATGTTGCAAGGAGTAGTCGTGGACATAATCGCTTCGAACCTGGAAGTAAGTGGGTATTCGCTAAGAGGAGAAAAATACCTGTCAACTCCGATTTGAATAACCTCGGATCAATGGCCTCAAACTTGGTAAACTATGAATAAATGGGTGCACAATCTGGACATGATCACCATGGTTGAAAAGGATGTGAATATAGGAATGATACAAGTGTTCATCAGCACCAAAGACAGTGTTAAGGACAGTTACAAAAAAGGAGCTAAAAAATATCATTATGGATAAAAGAAGTGAATGGAATAATATGCTAGAAAATGATTCAGCACCAAGGACAGTGTTTGTTGTTATCAGTATTAATGGGTCATATCAAGTTATTTCCTAGGTTTAAAAAACCAACAAAGGAAATAGGTGTGAGGTGAGAAAAAAGGATGAAATTAGGAAGATCACAACATAAAACCCTTCAGTATGAAAGAAAACTTGGTTCTGATTATAGCTGCGTGACTGTGAGAAACAATGAGCCTGGGTGCAGAAAGCAAGACAACACAATTATACATGTATCTGACTGAAGCCTACCCTTCACAGTGCATGCCCTGGACACTTGCTTGGACCAGACCACTGGGGGTGCAGTCTGGGTCATCAGCACGCTGCAGCAACAAACATGTCATCGATCTCACTTCTTCATGCAAATACTGTTCACATCACGAATGATAAAAATCATTTCGGAAATGCAAACCTTTGTTGTACAAGGTTCAAAACTGTGACTTCCAGATACAGCACAAGCCTTACCAGTTTTTTACTTGAATGTGCTCATGATCACATCACAGTCCAGATCTTACATTTTAATAATTAATTTTAGTAAATGTAGCTAGTTTTTTGTCAAATAAATACATACCTTGTCATCTGGGAGTGTCCCCAGCACTTGTTCAAACATCTGCAGTGGGTCCATGCCATCCCTGCCTCCATAGTTCCTCAGCACGGCGTGGACCACCTGAGCTTTGGTGGGGGGTCTCCCTGACCTCTTACAGAAACCGTATACCATCTTCACCAGGCTGGAAGACATGGCCAATATTTTAATATTAATTTTAGACTGTCTGATATTAGATGTTAATTAATATGTACAATATACAGTATGTTACGTAGGTATTCAATGCTTCAGTCATTCTGCATGAGGGTCTGTGCCAAAATTAGATCAACCTATGCATATCTGCAGCCACCATGCATCACTTCCTAAAGCCTGCGAATGATTGATTCTGCTTTGTCACTACGAAGAGTATTTAGTTCTGGAAGTCTTGAGAAAATTCCTGGTGTAATTATGGAGATTAGGTACTGAATAGTAACTACTAGTAACATGCAACATACTGGTGACATCCTTGTCATTTGGCATGGACAAGGTATTATGGGTTGATTATAATATATCCAAGCTACAGTCGAACCGCAGGTCACCGTAGCACTGAGTACTAAAGCCATTGCCTTGGGGAAATTGTTTTTTCCATGCAGCCATGGTTAAAAATGACGAAAAAATGGGCCCCTTACTTAAAAATGTACTTATTTACCCCTAAATAAATTGGGCGCACAAAATATCAATCAAGTGTATTGATATGCGGCTCGGCACCCCTTTCCACCAAAAGGGTGAAAAATTCCGACCCGCGTTTAGTACAGAAATGACAGCCCGTCGGGCTGAGGGTGTCAAATAATTAAGTCCTCATTTGCATAATTTGCATTTAACTATGTACAACTCTCACCTCTCAGCTTTCTACCTACCAAAAATGATGAAAATATGTTGTTCCTATCTGGACTTATTGGCTTTAAAAGTTTCTTTGGGTCTTGTCTGGTAGTCTTCTTCTGAGCCTTCCTGGGCATCTTGGAGACGAGTTGGCAGTCGCCCGTCAAGTCGTCTTTATATACTGTAGAAATCAGGTGCGTTGCACGTGCGGAGCACTTGGTATGGTGCACTTGTGTTCTGCGTGGTCATTGAGCAGGTCAACTGGGAAGTGAGGAGTAAGCACGGATGATGCAAGCACCGTGCGTGGCACGCAAATGCTTCGTGCGCTGTCCGTACAGCAATTGCACGTGAGAATAGTGAAGTTAGACTCACAGAGTCCGTACGTTGCACGCTCATAAGATGTACGGGGCAAGCGTGTCGCACGTACTCGCATGCACGGGTGGTAAATCCGCAGACCGCACGTAGAAAAAGTTTTACATGCACTTAAAATTCTACGGCGTGTCTGCGTGCTCCCAAATCCGTAGGATTCCGTACGGAGGTGGTACTCACCACGCACGGATGCCCTACGATTGCCCACGTTTTTGCACATAGACAGCATGCAGAAGCACGTACGGCGGGTTGTGACCGTCACTTTACATGCATTCCTGACAGGATAAGCTATCTGTCACCAAAAAATCAAGACCATAGCTTGTTCAGGACAAAAGATACAAAAACCGGAAGTTCTGCTGCAGTACCAAGGTCAGCCACCAGTAGGCCCATATTTTACTGTGACCTTCGTCTTCCTAAGACATACCTGCATACCAAATATCATCCCAATCCATAAAGGCGTTATGAAGTTGTAAGTGCGGAAACACACACGCACACACACACACACACACACACACAGACAGGCCAATACCGCCATTCATTTTTCATGGAGGTAAATATAACCTCCATGACATGTCATGGAGCTAATAATATTTCAACCATCAATTTAATACCTGCATACCAAAAATCCTGACAATCTGTCGACCGTTTTTTAGTTATCCTCTCTGGAAGATTTTCAAACAAACCGTCCAATACAAGCTAGGGGGTCTAAACTCATGTGACTTCTTACAGAGCACAAGAGCGACTACATTGTACCATCCAAAATCTAGTATGTCCAGATCGCGAGATATCAAAACCAGAATTTCCACTGCAGTACCAAGAGAAGCTACTAGGGGGTCCAGAAATCTCATCATTTTCAGTTTTTGTCACACCCTACCAACACACCAAGTATGAATAATCCATCCAGCCCTTCTTCTGTTATCTCCTTGACCAACAGACAGACAGAATGTCAGGCAGACAGACAGAATGACAAACAAAAATATAACCTTCATGACAGTTCAGGGAGCACAAGATATAACCTCCATGACATTTCATGGAGGTAAATGATTATGTACAATGTAGGTAATGATTTTGCGTCTACATGCAGAGCAGGTTTGAAATACATTAATTTTCTAAACTGCACCTGTAAAAGTCTCGCAGGCCAAAGAACTCCCTGTCCTGAGAATTGTAGAGTTTCAGGTAAGCCTCACACAGGTGTGGGAGGAGAGTCTTCATACTGGCCAGGACATGGTCGTCATTCTCACAGATACCCCTGTACATTATAAGAACTGGTAAGATTCATGATGGCCAATAATGTTAACAGTGTTGTTAAAACTTATAACAGATTCTGAAGATTTTGTAAAGTTACAGACATTAATCTTCATATCAGTGGAGAATAATAATGGCCAGTAGAAGCACTTTCATGGTGTTATAATAAGACTGACGAATGTCTAATAATGGCCAATCCTGCACAATCATGTGTAAGGTGTCCAAAATTCTAGACCTAAAGCACCTTCACATCAGTTTGCAAGTGATTACGAACACTGGAGTCCTGTCCAAGGACTAACTGACTAAACTTGAGGAAATCAACTGCTAGAATGGTAAACTTACCTTGCACTCTTTGTCAGGTCCTCTCTCTTCGGTTTCCCCCTGGACACAAAGATGCCCCTGTTCATCTTAGCAGGATCCAGAGCCCAGTTGGAGATCCCCACAAATGCTACCTTCTTGTGGGACCTTGTCTGATCTGGGGCTTCTTCCTCATCTTCATTTTCATCTTGGTCTTCCTCCTCATACCCATTCTCCAGCAGTGGATGCAGGGTCTGTGTTACAGTAATTACAAACTTTAAGTTAACACATAGTTTACAATGTCATGTTTAACTTCTTATGTTATTTAGGCCATACACATTCTATATTCAATTTGTGCCTTAAGTTTATATCTAATATGCTGCACTTTCTTTGGTAAAGGAAATACCAGGTAAAGGAAATACTTCTTAACCGTTTTACAAAATGTATCTTGATTGGATGCCAAGTGTGCATTAAAAAAATTAAGTTCAATTCAGTTTGCACCACAGTAATTCGGATTCCTTGTTTGTGCAAAAGAACACAGTAACGAATTTGTTTACACTAAGTCTGGTCAAACTGGTATGACCACAGTGCACTTCAGGCAACCAGTAAGGTTGCCTGTGAGTCTGGTGTCAGTTTGTACAATGTAGTTTTGTACTGTATATACTGTAATATAATTATACATGTATGACATTGTATGTATTGAGTTATAAATAAACCATTCATCATCAAATATCAATAGATATCAAGAAACAAAGACAGGTAAAAAATTGGTTAGTATCATTCTTATTAAATACTTATTTACGGACAAATGAAAAATGCTTTTCACCAGGGGTATTTTGACTTATCACCTTGAGGGGCATCTTGGGTGAGTCCTCTGCCAGTCCCACCTCATCTAGCACGACCACAGACACGTAGCGGGACAGGTCCTTGTCCTTCTGGGACTTACTGCACTGTCGGAAAATTCTCACAATGTCTTCTGGTGTGGCCAGAGGGCTGCACTGGAAAGAAACCATCTGGACCTGACATGGAAAAAAGACATTTAAATCACAGCTTAATAGGAAATTTGATTTAAAACTTAATAATTTTTTTCATATATAACAGGTTGCATTAAAAACTTCTTACAAACAAGACTGACAATAAAAACACACATTGCCATCATGGTGGTTGTTGTTAGGGCTATTGTTTGCCTGGCAGTCTGTCATGCATCAAGATTCTACCAATTTGGTAGAATCTTGATGCTACTGATGAACAAAAATTGCACTCCCTATATTACACACATACTGCAAAATACAATCTGAAAGAGTGCATTTCCTAACTGCTTGTCAATGAGTACTTTACACAAAGATGCCATGATTGATTAGAATTGCTGTAATGAGAAAATATCTAACACCCTACAGATTAATTTTGGACAAAATATGAAAATAATAATGACAGGATGACAGCCACTGGAGAAAACTGCACCACAGCAAGATGCAGTCTGTAAGGAAATTTCCTACCTCTTTGAGTCCTTTAAACAAGGATGAAGGTGCATTGTCTCCCTGCATGGCGTCTTCCACGATGGTTTTGGCGAGAGACTTGGAGCTGCCCGGCTTGCCCACCAGGAACAGCGGGATCTTCAGCTCGATACACACCACCATCATGAACACGTTCTCCTTCAGCGCCGTGTTACAGGCGATGTTCGCTCCCAGCTGGTCCTTCAGCTCAGCAAGGAACGCCTCCTGGCATCTTAAGGGAAGAAAAAGAAAAACTCATCATTCTGTTGGAAAACCAAGGATCAGAATCACCCATACAATACATTTTGTACTGTCATGGTTATCTTCGTAACAGATCAAATGACAACAATCCTCTGTGCTGTTTGTGATGTGCAATAAATTTGTTTAGAAGTGAAAAATGTTACAGATAAGCCCATCAGTGTAATACGTACTAAGAAGCCACAAATATATATATTATAATAAGTGTGCATATTCAGGTTCATGACTAACAATACAAAACCAGAAATACAAAAGAGTCACCCCTATCTTCAAACAATTTTTTTCAGGTATATTGTTTATAGTCAGTAAAAATATTAGATGCTGTAGTATCATTCAAAACAGAAGACAAACTGGCAGAAGCAATTTCTTAAACCATGCCTGTCTATCTCCTGTTCCACTGTCTGGGGTCCCTGGGGAAGCAGGCAGGTGTCTGTGAAATGTTGCGCCACACAATCTCTGTACTCTTCCCTGGTCTCCAGACGGGAGTGGTAGCAGACACCGATGGCTAGGACAAGAGCTCTGGTGAAGTCAGATATTTGTGCCTGTGATGACACAGGGTAATGGTATTGTGTCAGTAAGACAGCAAAGGAGAAAAGTATCAGATCTGTATTATAGGCAAGCCACACACAGGTCTGAAACATTACCTCAAAGCCAAGACATCATCAGGATTATGGATTGGAGATGGACCAGATACAAGTCCAAAATGTAATTGTACAGATCGCGGGATAAGCATCATCGGGATTTAGGATTTTTCAGGATATCCTGCGGGACTTTTTGGGATATCCCGCAGGAGTTTGTGGGATATTCCGTGGAATATCCGACGGTATTCTTCTGGGACGCCTATTGTGTCCATACACCATTTCATCGAATCATGAAAAACCACAATGGACTTCAATAACCCTTCAGTAGTTGTAAATGGATGACAATCAGAGGTATACATACATGTACATTAGACCTTGTGCTCCCCCCTGTATCTGGCATTAGTTCCCTCAGTTTGCCAGACATTTGGTAGAACCAACACAGGACTGTCAGGGTCCTCTCCGCATCACGCAGACTCACAAAACTGCACTCATCCTATTGAAACATTTAGTAGTGGTAATTGTTACTTGAAAATAATACCAAGTTTATGTAATTTCTTAAAATTTTTTAACTCTAAAGCAACTTTAAAGAACTATTTTTATTGACTTTAAATTTAAATAAATAAGAATGGCACAGCTAGTAATAAATGCGACCAATTCTTACAGGTGGTCAAATGATAATTGAACAAATGCATGATTGTGTAAATGATAAATTAATAATGTTACTCAATGACATATTATTCTCCATGCAACATGCCCTCTTTTAATGGGTTTCACATGCCTCACTATTGTTGCATTTACAATGTACCTTTTTGCTCCGCATGTACCGCTGGGATGCAGCCAGTACAGCACTCACAACATTCGGTGTGTTACCGGTACCAGGTAGGTTGTTAGCTTTTATCTGGAACTGGGGTGAAAAGGAATTATCTGCCCTTGCATGGCAACAAAAATGTAGACTATTGATGTCATAATAATTAGCAATATGCATATGAATCTTAATGACCATGTGGTGGCAGGTAAATTGATTACAGCAGCAGTTAACAGACATACACTGTAATCCAACATTGCACAGGTGAAAAGCCTGAGTATATAAGGACTACTCCAGCAAAAATATTAAATAGATTCAAAAGATTAAAACATATTAAGACTTAGCGTAAGACCTAGACCTAGTCAAACTATTAAAAATGCATACTATTTAATCTAGTAACTACTACTTTACATACTACATGATTGTATTCTATAGAATAATATTATTATACAGTAATAATACTTTTAATTAAAATGTTCATTTTGTATACAATTCTAATTTAAAGAGGAAACGGGAAAGACTTACGCATCTGTTGACCATCTGCACGATGTACTTCTCCTCCACCTCACTGCTGAGCTGGCCGAAGTCCCAGACCAGCGGCAACATGCTGGGGGGGAGGGGCTGGACACGGTACACCAGCTGACGCAGGGGGATGTGACCTGGAGAAGTATACAGATTGAATGAAACCATGAAATAATAATTTAAAAAGGGTTAATGCCCCGCCCCAAGGTGTATATGGTGAGATAATCCCTGGTCATGTGTGATAACCACCGAATAAACCAACAAGTGAGCGTAGCAAATGAGGTGGTTTATGACTCAGATGTGGTTATCACACCTGACCAGGGATTATCTCACCATACACACTGAGGATGCAGGAGGCGGGGCATTAACGTTCTTATCACATAGCCTATCCAAAATTTTGTTGTTGTTTTTTTCCATCCGCCTTTTCTTCAAGTATTCATTGAAACTACATTGTCCTTAGACTAAGTTTGTTCTGTAACCCGAACCATGTTTCACTATGTTTAATCTGATAAAATTAGAACATATCGGTCGATGCTGATTGGTTCCGGTGTTTATGGGACCGCTGGGTGTGTTATGGTGTCATAAAAAATAGCAAATGGGGACCTCTGATTAGTCAACGCTATCTGCAATAATATATGATAGATTTACAACTGTCACATATCATAAATACTTGTCACACACAAATGTCACACACAAATGTCACACACTTGTCAGTATACAATTCTTAAATTCTTACAAAATTTTGTTCCCTGGGAATCTCAATTTTAAACATGACATACTGGGAACAACTGTTTGGAAATGATTTTAAAAGAACAAGTTGAACTCATTTTTGTTTTCTATTATATTCAAACAATATAATTCATCTTGATATCAGAAGTAAAACATACATACCAAACCTGTCCTTTGTCTCTGTGGCCTTGATATGGTAGCCGAGTCCTGCCTCCTCCAGCCTCCTGATCATGTCATTTGTGTGTCTGAGGGGAGAAAATTATCACATATTATGCAATGCATATTAGACACTGTTTTATATTTCGCCTTTGTTCTACACTACTCATCCAAACAGGCAAAGAAATATTGTTAGAAGTTGTACTGAATCATTTTCTATGATATATTATCATCCACAATAATTAGCAGTTGCATCTCATTCTGACACTGTTTTCTGATATTTGCAATCATCTAACCAAAGGTCCCATCAATGATAAAAAACTGTTTCTATAACAACCTCTATTGTTAAAGGTTACCTTCTGTATGGGTTAATGGCAGCGACTATCTTGAGACAGCCATCTTGCCTGTTGAGAGGCTGCCCTGCAATGGTCCCGTCACACATGATCTCCTTTATGAGACCGATGGCCTCTGTGGTGTTTGCTTCATCAAAGAACAGCACAGTGTCGATGTTGTGCCTGTCCTTGTTGACCCTGGCGATCTGCTGAGCTCTCTCCACCTTACGTATGATGTCCTCTGCCCTCACTCCACCATGGACCTGTTGTACAGTACCGGCACCAGTTAGTCAGTCAAACAAAACAAAAGTAAATCTAACTAGAGGTCGGAGATCTCATGTCTTCGTCAGAGGTACATCGTTCTAGAGAAATTAACATGCGTATTCTTCACTCTTTTTAATAATCAATTTGGTCTAAAGAACAAAAGTATGTACTATTTTTATGGTACAGAACACCCTGAAACGGTTTGCCGCAGATTATACAGATGCGTCGTCACCCGTGTTAGCTCTCCCCCCCCCCACGTTATTTGAGTTTGGACTGTTACTGGAAAAAAAAACGTTCAAGAAATTCTTACTGTGTTGAAAGTGTCACAACAGCTCCGCAAAATATAATAAGAGAAGATGTTATAAAGGAAAGAATCAGAACAGGGTGACTACTGCTGTTTTGTTAATTTGTCTTTATGACAAATAGAACTCCGCAAAATATAATAAGAGAAGATGTTATAAAGGAAAGAATCAGAACAGGGTGACTACTGCTGTTTTGTTAATTTGTCTTTATGACAAATAGAACAGTCTTGTTTCTTGTGTTCTTTGTGTCCTAACATTTGTACTTCTACAGTTAGTATATTCCAAATCTAGGCATCTCGTTTTTCGGCCCGTCGTGTTTTTATTGCGCGCTTGCCTTAAATTTAAGGTAATTAGATTTAAGGTCTCCAGTGGACGTCATCCATAGCAATTACTTGGTGTGGCCGTAGAAAATAACCTGACATATGTCCAACCTATCCTCCCCCTGCTGAAGTTATAGTACAATCCCTCAATGCATGCCCGTAGCCAGGGGGGTTCGGGGGTTCGGAAGAACCCCCCTACAAGGCTCAAAGGTCCACTTTTTGGTCCACTTTTTATGTAAAGGTCCACTTTTTGGTCCACATTTTATGTAAAGGTCCACTTTTTTGGTCCACATTTTGTGTAGAAAAACTGCTCCCTTTGTTATTGAATAAAAATCTATCTCTGATTTTTTCTTGGAAATCCTCTTGAAAATGCACGAAATGCCATTTTAGAAGGTTCATTTTTCAAAATTTTCCGGGGGAGCATGCCCCCGGACCCCCCTACGGAACCTCGCGCCTACGGCGCTCGAGGTCCCCTCCAGCAGTGGGAAGAACCCCCCATTCAAAATCCTGGCTACGGGCATGCAATGTAACGTCATTTGATCCCATCCCATTATGGGGTTCCCCGGCTATATCCAGCTGTCGGCTGTCTCAAAGCAGATGTAGGTGGGGGATTTCTAAACACAAAAGGTCCTATTACGGGGACATAACGACCTCCATCCAAGCCAAAGTGTGTTTCTGTGCTGCATGAATGCTCAAAGCTTTAATGCCTAGTTGATGCTGCATTGATGCTGACTGCCACGGCAATTTCATGGTAAATTATAGCTGTCCAAGATTCTGTCCCCAAACTATCAACCAGCAAAGCCTTGAACCAATTTGAAGGAGTAAAGCTGCATTGGTGCCATTTTCTGTCACGGTAATTATCCAGCAGTCATGCTTCACCTTTGGATTAACCCCATGTGTCCTCTTGGACTGGAACCATGGCTTTCAACTATGCGCTAATTTGAAGCTGTTTTGTTCCTAACGTTTTAGAAAGTTACATGTCCAATTATGAACTCCATGAAAATGGAGGTATTGTTTTGTATGTTGATTATGAGGGCATGTGAACTTTACAACCTTCGACTACAACTTGATCTATTTTGGAATACGTGCATATCAAACTTATGTCTATAAATTGGGCAGGAAACATGGTACAGTTACAAACATCAGCTAGTTGCTTAGAATTAAGGTGGAAGAAATGAAAGTGTCATACTCCTTGTGGTTTTTGTTGTCTGAGTTTTGGTTTGCATGTTACTATGTCCACAAGAAGATGGTTGCAAGTTGCATAATCAGAAAACATGCACCAGATTGGGAGATTTGTAAAAAGTTGATTGACAGCATGCGGGAAGTTGTGGCATAAGGTCTGTCAGAATTTGTACCATTTTTCATGAAGGAAGCAGAGCACAGTGTAATACTTTGACTATACTTGTATTACAAAATTAATGTATGTTGGTGAAAGACTGAGTATTGAGCAATCACTCCAAAAAGTACCTACTACTACTTAGCACTAGGCAGACAATGATTTTGGTCTCAATTACATTCTAGATTAGCTGTCTGATACTTGGGAGGCCCTCACATACCCCTGTTTATAGCTAAATGTGTCCTTACACAATGGGAGCAAGCCTCCTTCTGATTTGGGTCATTAGCACCCACTGAGTGTGGAACACCAGTAGCTAGATGTCTCACAAGCTGTTTTGGGACCACCAGGTCCTGTATTTACTTAGGATAACAAGGCAGACTGATGAGCTCCCCATGTGCCTCTATATACATTTTTGACCTGGTTGACCTTTTGATCACCCCCTTCCCCTGCTGGGCTAGCCTAGATGTTGGCATGTTGTGGATTTGATTCCTAACAGGACATGGGAACTTAGCTGGGAACTTAGGGAAAAGACTGTTCTTGTTGAGGCAAAGCAAAAATGCCATTGTGATATATATAATATATATGATCACCTGGA